ATCTGGAGTGAGTGAGTGTGTGTGTGTGTGTGTGTGTGTGTGTGTGTGTGTGTGTGTGTGTGTGTGTGTGTGTATATGTATGTATGTGTGTGTGTGTGTATATATATATATATATATATATATATATATATATATATATATATATATTAGTCTTTCGTTTATGAGAGTCTTTGAAATTGTATATAATTGAACGAAAGACATTTGAGATGAAAATGATCACACATTTCAACACCAGAAATTAAGGACTTAATGTAGATTCTGGCTTTTTCACACACACTACCAAAATGTTTTCTAAACACGCATCTTAATGTCTTATATAGTTATTTTTCAATATTCTCGTTTCACCTTTATTTGATCAATTTATATGCATATATGCCGCTATATACTTGCATGCCCTGCTCTGCTGTTTTCCTTTTTTTTTTTTAACTAGCTTATTGACGATCTTCTATTTATTTACTTTTTCTGGCTATTCTCAGCCAACCTGCACCTTTTCACTTTCAGACACATCTTCTGCTATTTATCAGATTTATCAGTATTGCTTCAGGCCTGAGGAAGAGAGGAAAACTCTTGAAAGCTTGTCTTTGAAATATGTTAGTCCAATAAAATAGGTATCATTGCATACAGTAATACTCTGGTATTTTGGATCTCTCTCTCTCTCTCTCTCTCTGTCTGTCTGTCTGTCTGTCTGTCTGTTTGTCTGTAGGTAGATAGCACTCAAGGGACTAGATAATAAAGTGAAAAAAACTTGGCTTTATTCAGCAAATGCCACAGTGATCAACGTTTTAGTTCCAATACAGAATTTCGTCAGGATAAAGGTGCAGGTATACCAAACAGTGTTAAATACAATACTTAATTCATACAATGTACACATGAGTTACTTACCCTTTGCCCCCTATGATTGCCAAGTTCGTGCAACCGAAATTGTGGGTAAATGTGACCCGGTTCTGTATACATATGCAGCTGAGCCTATGCTTCCTACATCCTGTACAGATTACAGATTTTATTTATTTTTTTGATATATATGGTGAATAGTGATGTCGCGAAACCGAAACTTTCGGTTCGCGAACGTGAACTTCCGCAAATGTTCGCGAACCGCCATAGACTTCAATGGGCAGGCGAATTTTAAAACACACAGGGACTCTTTCTGGCCACAATAGTGATGGAAAAGTTTCAAGGGGACTGTTTCAAGGGGACTAACACCTGGACTGTGGCATGCCGGAGGGGGATCCATGGCAAAACTCCCATGGAAAATTACACAGTTGATGCAGAGTCTGGTTTTAATCCATAAAGGGCAGAAATCACCTAACATTCCTAAATCACAATGGATATGGATTGATACCTGACATATGACATATTAACACATAGCAGAATAGGGACTGTTCCCCCTACATAGGGTCACTTAGCAGATATGGATTGACACCTGTCCTCAGAGACCATGATACACCCTGACACAGAGCAAAATAGGGACTGTTCCCCCTACATAGGGTCACTTGGCAGATATGGATTGACACCTGTCCTCAGAGCCCCTGATACACACTGACACAGAGCAGAATAGGGAATGTTACCCCAACATAGGGTCACTTGGCAGATATGGATTGACACCTGTCCTCAGAGCCCTGATACACACTGACACAGAGCAGAATAGGGAATGTTACCCCAACATAGGGTCACTTGGCAGATATGGATTGACACCTGTCCTAAGGATCCCTGATACACACTGACACAGAGCAGAATAGGGACTGTTCCCCCTACATAGGGTCACTTGGCAGATATGGATTGACACCTATCCTAATGATCCCTGATACACACTGACACAGAGCAGAATAGGGAATATTCACTAAATGCCAAACATTGTTATACAGGGGAATATTCAGTAAATAAGGATAAGGGGGGACCTACTGTCCTCCCCCCTGGCCCCCACCCCTGCACGGTGGGTGGGGCCATAAATCTCAATGGGGGGGGACCTACTGTCCTCCCACCCGCCCCCACCCATGAGCGGTGGGTGGGGGCCATAAAAATAATGAGGGGGGACCTACTGTATGATGTTGTATCGATCAGGTAGTGTAAGGGTTACGCCCGCTTCACAGTGACAGACCAAACTCCCCGTTTAACGCACCGCAAACAACCACAAACAGTCCATTTGCACAACCGCAAACTCCCCATTTGCACAAGGTTGGATACCAAGCTAGCCATGTCCGTTCCTTGTCCTCACTGATGTCATTGAAGGTCTCTTCCTCCACCCAGCCACGTACAACACCAAGGGTCCCCGAAAGGTGACAACAAGCCCCCTGGGACGCCTGCTGTGTTTGGTCTTCCACCTCCTCAAAGCCACCTTCCTCCTCTGACTCCTCTTCTTCAGACTCCTCTCTCGGCGTTGCCTCTTTCTGCGTTATTATAAGGTGTGTTAAGTAGTATTATTCCTATCAGTTTAATCCCTGTATATGGCATCGATTTTAGGAACCGGGAGATGGAAAAAGATGCTTGGTCGGTCCTCCTACTTCAAATTTGGGGCACTGCGCGTGCAATCTAATGTGCCACCAGATAGGGGTGGTGTGTTAAGTAGTACTATTCTTATCAGTTTAATCCCTGTTACGTCCCCTATCCGTTGATGTGGAGCAAGACGCAGCAGTAGAAGAGGACTCAGCCGAGGAGGTTATGGAAGAGGATGGAGTAGGAGGAGTAGAGGAGGTGGCAGCAGGCCTGCCTGCAAGTCGTGGCGGTGTCACCAACTCCTCTGCAGAGCCACGCATTCCATGCTTGGCAGCCGTCAGCAGGTTTACCCAATGCGCAGTGTAGGGGTGGCCTGCCTCTGCCTGTCATTTTTTTCCGATTAGTGGTACTATGCGTGCAAGCTACTGTGACACCAGATATGAGTGGCACTGTGAACTGGCAGAGGTTGTGAACTGGCAGAGTAACATAGAAACATAGAATGTGACGGCAGATAAGAACCATTCGGCCCATCTAGTCTGCCCAATTTTCTAAATACCCTCATTAGTCCCTGGCCTTATCTTATAGTTAGGATAGCCTTATGCCTCGCATGCTTAAACTCCTTTACTGTGTTAACCTCTACCACTTCAGCTGGAAGGCTATTCCATGCATCCACTACCCTCTCGGTAAAGTAATACTTCCTGATATTATTTTTAAACCTTTGTCCCTCTAATTTAAGACTATGTCCTCTTGTTGTGGTAGTTTTTCTTCTTTTAAATATAGTCTCCTCCTTTACTGTGTTGATTCCCTTTATATATTTAAATGTTTCTATCATATCCCCCCTGTCTCGTCTTTCCTCCAAGCTATACAGCTGTAGGGCTGACACACCGCTTTGAGACAACTAACTGCTATTCAATCTATAACAGAAAAAAAGTTTTTGGGTTTTTAAATGCAAGCTATTGTGACACCAGTGAGTGAGTGGTGGCACTGGGCAAGTGGGCACAGTATACGCTGCGAGCCTGACACACAGACGCTTGCAGACAACTAACTGCTATTCAATCTATAACAGTGAAAAAGTTTTTTGGGTTTTTAAATGCATGCTGTTGTGACACCAGTAAGTGAGTGTTGGCACTGGGCAAGTGGGCACGCTATTGTGACACCAGTGAGTAAGTGGTGGCACTGGGCAAGTGGGCACAGTATCCACTGTGAGCCTGACACAGAAGCTGGCAGGCAGGCAGGCAACTGCAATTACATTACACAGAAAAAAAAAAGCAGACTGATGTTATAGCCCTAAAAAGGGCTTTTTGGGGTGCTGTCCTTACAGCAGAGATCAGATGAGTCATTCAGGACTGTAGTGGACACTGTATACACTAACCTAGCTATCCATTTCCCTATCAAATCAATAGCAGCTACACTTTCCCTCCTCTCCATAAGCATGCAGCTTAAGAATGAATCTAAAATGGATGCTGTCCAGTAGGTGGGAGGGTGTGCTGCTAATTGGCTGGAATGTGTCTGCTGACTGTGAGGTACAGGGTCAAAGTTTACTCAATGATGACGAATAGGGGGCGGATCGAACCGCGCATATGTTCGCTCGCCGTGGCGAACGCGAACATGCTATGTTCGCCGGGAACTATTCGCCGGCGAACCGTTCGGTGCATCACTAATGGTGAACTTGTTACATATGTATACTCTGTATTTATGTAACTACGATTTTTGCCCACCAAGATCTCTACTTATGATATCTCTATTTTCCCTTCAGGTTAGAGGCAGTGCTTTACCAATGGGATTTCTAATCTGGAGGGAAAAAACAGGCAGGCAATTCTCCAAACTTTTTTAAAACCCTCCCCCTTATTAAGCACCTTCCTATAAATGTCAGCTTTCCAAAAACAACCCCAGTTCTTTGCCTGCCTTCGGCAGAGGAAGTATAGCAGGTTTTTCTCCAGGGAAGCAGGTGAGAAGGGCCGAGGCTCGGGAGGCTCTGCTTCCTTTTGTTTTGAAGCTAAATTTTGGACGGCGGGTTCTTCACGAAGTTTATAATGTTCCGTCTCTTCCGCGCCAGATGCCGGTCAGATGAAGGACACAGGTGTGCGTCAGCTGGGAGGTCCTTACGTTGCGTTCCACCGGGAATTCGCGGAGCGCAGTGCACATGCGCAATGCGATCCAAGATCCAGGCGCCAAATCTGAACTCAGCGTTTTTCGTTCAATTGGTTTATAGGACTGAAAAGGAGCAACTTACCAGCAGCAACCTCTGTTTGCCAGGAGCTCTCAGATCTTTTGCTAGTGTGTTTCTCACCTGCCCTCCAACACACTGTGAGACCATCTAAGGTTAGACATTTTGCATTTAATTTAAATGGCTCTATCCTGAATCATAAAGGGAATTAATTTTTTTTTCCCCTTTCTCTTATCTTTCCTCAGTATGTCTAATCCTGAAATTACGGAGAAATCGACAGAGAAGGGGAAATGTTCAGCAAAATCCAAGCATTTAAGTTGCTCTGTATATTTCCAACCTAGGCCAGATAGATTTAAAAGGAAACTTTGTTCTCTATTTTCCAAAGATGCTTCGGAGGAAGCTTAAAAAACAGAAAAGTCCACATTTCTAAGCTGGTTACAACAGAGTATGCAGCAAACCTTTGTGGAAATGCAATCTGCAGCTATGCAGTCGGCTCAGGCATCTGTTGCTCAGGATTTACAGTTGGTAAAACAATCCAAGAAAAGGCCGAGATCATGGGAAGATTCAGATGCAAGCTCAGGTACTTGTGCTTCTGATTCTAGAGATGATTCCTCTAGTGATTCTTCTGAGGAGGAATTTGCCTTTCCAGAGGAAGCCATTGGAAAGTTAATAAAGGAAGTGCAGAACCTTATGGAGGATGGGATAACTGGAAAAAGATCTAAAGTTTTCCCATTACATCCACAGCTAAAGGAGTTGGTTTTAAGAGAATGGAAATTCCCAGGTCATAAACCATTTATATCAAAACACTTTAAAACTCTTTTCTCCATAGAAGTGGACCAGGACTGCCTGCTGGATACAGTTCCTGTAGTAGACGTTCCTATAGCTCAAATAGGAAAGAAAACTGCGTTACCTATAGGTGACTCGAGTGGTTTAAGGGATGTGATGGAAAAGCGTATGGACTTGTCTTTAAAGAAAATGTTTATTTCCTCAGCTGCTCAGGCAAAAGCCCTTATCGCAGAAACCTCCGTGGCTAAAGCCCAAAAACATTGGCTAGAAGAACTAGAGAAGGTTTATGCAGGTGAATCAAAAGAAGATCCAGTAAAGCTGTTGATAAATATCAAGATGTCTGCAGATTTTTTGGTAGATTCTTCTTCAGAAAGTCTGAAATCATCTGCTAAGAATTTGGGTTAAACATCAGTATCTAGGAGAGCACTTTGGCTTAGAAACTGGTCAGCTGACGCTGCATCTAAAAATTCTTTGTGTGACTTACCCTTTGAGTCTGGTAGACTGTCCGGGACAAAACTGGATGATCTGTTAAAACAAATGAAGGAAGGCAGGAAGGCCTTGCCTGAAACCCACAAGAAGCAGGTTTGGAACAAAAAAATGGGGATTTCAGTTAGAAGTTCCTTTCGTAGGAACTATTACAGGGGTCAACAGAAGAAACTTTTCGATGAAAGAAAGATTCACGGACAAGAGAAATAGAATGTTGTGACGCCAGGCCAGTGGGAGGAAGATTGACCCACTTCCTAAATCACTGTTAAAGTCTTACATTAGATCTCTGGGTTCTCTCTGTGATAAAGAGCGGGTACGGTCTGGAACTGACAAATACCACAAAGAGAACTTATTTATGTTCCAGGGTTCATTCTCAGGCAACAGAGAAAGCTTTAATGCAAGTAGTATCAAGACTCCTGCAGAAGAAAGTAATAGAATAAGTACCCCTAAGAGAAAGACATCAGGACACTTATTCAAGGCTATTTTTAGTTCCTAGGCCAGATGGTTCATTCAGACCTATACTAGACCTAAATGCCGTAAACAAGTGTATTATAAAAAAGAAGTTCCGTATGGAATCAATAAAATCAGCAACACTTCTTATTCAACCAGGGAATTGGTCTGCGTCCCTGGATTTAAAAGACGCCTATCTTCACGTGCCATAGCAGAATCCAGCAAAAGGTTCTTAAGATTTGCAGTCTGCATCCAGACGGTAACAAGGCATTACCAATTCAAAGCCCTTCCATTCGGCCTTTCATCTGCTCCAAGGGTATTCACAAAGCTGCTAGTAGTCATTTCAGCATACCTAAGAGGTTTGGGTATCTATGCCATCCCTTATTTGGACGACTGGCTTCAAAAGAACAACTAGCTTTAGACCTAATTACAGCTTTACAAGCTCTAGAAAATCATGGTTGGCTAATAAATTTAAAAAAATCGGAATTAGTTCCTGTTCAAAGGATTCAGTTCTTAGGTCTATTCATAGACTCAATCTCCATGAAGATTTTCCTTCCAGAAGGGAAGAAACTAAATATAACTCAAACAATGCAGAGGCTCAGAGAAAAGGGTGTTTTCTCAGTCAGAGAAGCGATGAGTTTACTGGGTCTTTTTATGGCCGCTATCCCTGCAGTCGGTTGGGCAAAAGCCAGAATGAGACCTCTTCGAGAAACATTTTAAAAGTTTGGGACAGACAGACAGTCTGGATGGTCTGATGAAATTCAACAGTCAGATGCTGAGGAGTCTTCCGTGGTGGACCTCATCTCGATTCCTGCAGGAAGGTCTTTCATTCCAAATGAAATCCTTCAGGATTTTAACAGACGCCTCGGCATTGGGCTGGGGGGCTCATTTAGGAGACCAAAAGAAGCAGGGGTTTTGGCAAGAAAAGGATGTAAGAACTTCCTCGAACTTCAAAGAATTGAAGGCAGTATGGATGGCTCTCCTTGCATTTCAGTTCCAGATAAAGAATCAGCATATTCAGATACGTTCAGACATTCGAACGACAGTTGCATTTGTGAACAAACAAGGCGGTATAAGATCATCAGAATTAGAAAATCTATGTTCAAAGATCATGCTATGGTCAGAAGTTCACCTACTCTCAATCTCGGCAGTTCACATTATGGGAAAATTCAATGTATTAGCAGATGCCCTGAGTCGTCAACACTTTAAAGCAAACAGATTGTTAACTTTCGTGCAAAGTTTTCAAGCAAATATCAGACCTCTTCGGTTGTCCAGAAATAGACCTTATGGCCTCCAGGAAAAACAGGGAGACAAGACGATTTGCATCTCTGAACCCTGCAGACAAACCAGATGTCATAGATGCTCTTTCAGTACCATAGAAGTTCAACCTAGCATATGTGTTCCCACCGGTAGTTCTTATTCCCAGAGTGCTTCAAAAGATCGAGTTGGAAAGAGTAAGGATTATCATAATCCTCCCTTGGTGGCCAAGAAGAAGTTGGTTTTCAGTTCTTCTAAACATACCAGGGGCCACCTTTTGGAAGCTTCCCCTATCAGAAGAAATACTGGAACATTCCATGGTACCTCTTCCAACCCTACAGAGATTCCAATTGACGGCTTGGTGTCTGAATTCCAAATTTTAAAGAGTAAAGGTCTAGATCCTGAGGTTATAAACATTTTATTGGCTACTAACAAAGAATCAACGTCTAAAATTTACTCCAAGATTTGGAAGAAATTTTGTCATTGGTGTTGTAGGTTTAACCCCTTAAGGACGAAAATTCTGGAATAAAAGGGAATCATGACATGTCACACATATCATGTGTCCTTAAGGGGTTAAAGAGAACCCGGTTTCTGCCTCCATCCAAAAGATTCTTAAATTAAATCTTTAAAATTACAAGTTTCAGCTACCCGTTTCTTTTCTTTCAGATGTTTAGCATAAAACATTCTGATATCTAGATTCTTCAGGGCTCTGGGCCGTTTGGTTCCTAAGGTTAGGGAAACCTGTGCGCCCTGGAATCTAAATTTAGTATTATCCGCTCTTTGTGAGCCGCCTTTTGAACCACTAGAAAAAGTGTCACTGAAGATTTTATCATTAAAAAACGTATTTTTGGTGGCAATTACATAAGCCAAGAGAGTAGGTGAACTCCAAGCTCTATGGGCGAATTTTCCTTTTTTGGTTTTTCATCAAGACAGGGTAGTTTTAAAGCTCGATCCGTCTTTTCTTTCTAATGTTTTGACCTCCTCTAACATCAATCAAGAAGTGGTATTACCTACTTTTTGCCAAAATCCATCCAATGCCTTGGAAAGAAAATTTCACTGCCTAGACGTGAAGAGATGTCTTATGCAATATCTAAAATCTACTAAGTCTTTCAGGAAGGAGAACAGCCTGTTTGTCTTAATTAACGGCGCAAGGAAAGGTATGAAGGCTTCAAAAAGTTCTCTGGCTAGATAGCTGAAGGATTGTATTCATTTAGCTTATTCCACAAGTAACGTGGAAATCACAGGCTCTGTAAAGGCCCATTCTACTAGAGCTATATCTATGTCCTGGGCTCTGCGAGCTGCGGCTACGCCTTCCCAGATTTGTAAAGCAGCCACATGGTCATCGCTTCATACATTCTCAAAACATTACAGGTTAGACATACTGGCCTCAGAAGATGCAGCTTTTGGGCGCAAGGTGCTACAAGCAGTGGTGAAATGAATCCCACCCTAAGGGATTGATTTTTTCATATCCCATTGGTAAACCACTGCCTCTAATCTGAAGGGAAAAACAAAAAATTTACTTACCGTAAATTTATTTTTCCTGAAGATTAGAGGCAGTGCTATAATCCCCCCTCCCCTCCCACACCTTTTATTTTTTTTCTTTCTAATAAACTCGGAATTGTGCATGTAACCGGCTTGTGTATTTTCTGGGGTTGTTTTTGGTAAGCTGACATTTATAGGAAGGTGCTCAATAAGGGGGAGGGTTTTTAAAAAGTTTGGAGAATTGCCTGCCTGTTTTTTCCCTCCAGATTAGAAATCCCTTTGGTAAAGCACTGCCTCTAATCTTCAGGAAAAAGAAATTTACGGTAACTAAAAATTTTAGTTTTTTACTACATATTATGTGCTATGGTCTACATGATCTTTATCCCCAGCGAGATCTTTAGTGCACTACTCTTCCTTCAGCCCTTAACATTGATCCCTTTTGCTCCCGTAATGATCGCTGACACACAGCTGAAACCGGGCTTCCATGACAACCCTTTCACAACAACGCACGCCCCCTTGCGTTCCAGCTGACTTCCAAACAGCCGCTGGAACGCATACAGGCTACCAGCAGTAACCTTGACAGCTGCATATGTATACAGAACCAGGTCAAATTTACCTGCGATTTCGAATGCACGGACTTGGCAATCATAGGGGGCAAAGGGTAAGTAACCCATGTGTACATTGTATGAATTAAGTATTGTATTCTATTTAACACTGTTGGTATACCTGCACCTTTATCCTGCTGAAAGTTCTGTATTGGAAGTGAAACGTTGATCACTGTGGCATTTGCTGAATAAAAGCAAATTTTTTTTCACCTTATTATCTAGTCCCTTGAGTGCTATCTACCTACAGACGGTGCTGACAAGCACCGGGCATTTAACGTATATTCAGGAGTGCAAGTATTGGATATTCTTTTATTTATTTTTATTTATAATTTATTATATATATATATATATATATATATATATATATATATATATATATATATACACACACACACATATATTTTCTTTTGGTTTAAAACATATTACATAGGAGACATATGTTATCAAGAGGGCATTTAGGCTGTTAGTACAATATCAGTGATAAGTGTGAGTGGTACCATATCGTATAAAATAGATGATTGTACTGAGTTTAAAGGGACTCTCCAGGCAGAACTTTTTACTCACCTGGTTCCAGCGCCAGGAGTCTCGTGAAAGCCGCGCCCCCTATTTCATCAAAATGACGAAATAGGCGGGCGCGAGCAGGGAGCAATCAGACGCTTCCATTTGGAACCATCATTGCTCCCTTGTTGCCGCGCGTGCGCACATACTTCATAGGGCGGCATTAATGCCGCCCTGTGAAGTCCTGAGCGCACTACCGCGCATGCGCCCGCGAGCTGAGCTGACTGACAGCTCAGCTCGCGGTATTTGCCCGTCCCCTCTCCTCTGCTGACAGGCAGGAGAGAAGGCACGCACACAGTGCCTTCTCTCTCCTGCACAAGTCAGACGTATTTTAATACGTCTGACGTGTACATGGCCTTTTTAGGGCCATACATGATAGGAAGTCCCTCTGGTGGCCGTCTGAGTGACGGCCACTAGAGGTATTCCTATCAATCAATGTAAACACTGTATTTTCTCTGAAAATACAGAGTTTACATTAGATTCCCTGCAGGGAGCCATAGATCTCACCTGAACAACTACATTAAGCTGTAGTTGTTCAGGTGACTATAGTATCCCTTTAAATGTTGTATAGTGATATCTCAGGTTAGGAAACAGTAATGTGTAGTTCTATATGCCATTGCTTATAGTGTCTCCTTCTAAAGAAGTGTATTAGTAAATCCTTTGTCGATATTTCCATAAAAATTTTCAATAAAATAATCGAATTAGTGTGTCATGGATGAACACAATTTTTTTTTTTTTTTTTTAAAACCATTAACAACATCATATTTTTAACCTGTGTCTTGTTAGTGTTATTTCTCTAACACTATGCCAGTCATTTTTTATTCTTTTCTCATGTGAATATTGTGTTATCTATACTTTTTGTTTCAGGTTACACTAAGAATGGAAAATAAAGGATTCCACCGTTCCAGCCTAAACAGTCTCCACAGTAGCACAAGCGATGAGGACATGGTTGAAATCACAGAAGGCACCCTGGATTTTAAAATTTCTGATGATGATCCACCAATAGATGCAGAGAACGATACTGGTAACCAATATTCTGTTTTATGTACATATACCTACAATGTTTCCCTGAAAATAAGACCGGGTCTTATAGTATTTCCACAGAATACAGCAGGAATTCAGTGCTAATCAACACACAATATATGCAGAATGGGCAGCAACCCAAGCGAAGGAAACCACTCAAGTCCTTCAATGGATCAAATATAACACAAAAAAAGATGGAGTAGGGCTGCGCCAATACGAATAAAATAGTCTTAGAGAGGGTAGGAAGTCTCGCTAGAGTAGCAGTAGATAATCAGGGAAACTTGATAAGACGTATTTTCTTCAGTGGGACTGGATACATCTCAGGGTGTTAGTTTGTATATATGAAACAGAAAAGAGGCAGAAAGCAACCAATAGTGCAGTACGTCTAGAGTCCAAAAGTGCAGTAAGTAACGAGAGGTAGAGAACTCACATTTAAAAGAGCTATGGCCAGCTCTGGTGTGAAGAGCATACAGCGGTATATTTCCCGCTTATGGGATGTGGGAAGATGTATCCGCCAGCACCGTCTGGTAATCCAGAGCTCCAAAGGGAAGATAAACGGCAACAAAAGTGCTCTCAATTGTGATAAAATAGAGTATAAAAGAGTGATAAGAGTAATACTCACAAGTGTAGAGCAGAAACACTGCTCTATTGATATAGCGTTGGTGGTATAATCCCTACCTCGGATTTCTTTTGATTAGTAGTAAAAAGCCAAGTAGCAAAGGAAATATATTATCAAATATATTTTAAAATTGTAAATAAAATTTAAAGGAATTTGGCACAAACCAGGTCTATTAGCACAAAAGAATTCCTTTATTCAGTAGTAAAGAAAATCTAAAACATCCAAATACGCGTTTTGCCGATGTGGCTTTCTCAAAATGGGATAAAAACATACAACCTGGCTACATAGTTTAAATAGGAATATGGTAATTTAAAATTGGTGCCAAAATTTCAGCTTTAAATTGTCAACCAATGGGAAACAGTGACCGTTAATAAAATACAAATGTACAGATCAAATATACAGTATTGTAGATCATATAATGGGGAGTATAAATATATATTTACATTGAAAAAAACGAAGTGTATTGACTGTAATCTAGGCATTTTTAGTATTAGCCGCTAGGCATCATGGGGATTGTAGTTATCTGCATGTATGATGTCAGCAAGAAATTATCACATTTGCAGACATCAGGGGAAAGCTTAGTGGCCTTATTTAATGTAATAGGTGGATGGAGGGGAAAAGGTGTAAGGTGTTTATACTTAAAACATGATGGTAATGGTAATTGTTTTAAATAGTGGGAAAAATAGCCGCGGTGGTCATCTTGGTAGGGGAAGCTGTGATAGTGAAATAATGGCGCCGGCCATCTTGGGAGGGAATAAGGTCATATTGTGGTGGCCATATTAGGAGGGGAAAAAACAATGTACATAAGAATAAAAACATGAATGACATATAAAGTATATAGTATAATTGCATTAGTACATGAATGACACATGTTATGCATGGTCTAATACATAGAAAGGAATTAGATAAAAATTATATATGCAAAAGCAGTATTTTAGACCAAGTAATTGGAGAGAATAGTTAAAAAATAATCGAGAATGAGACAAAAAGCCCTGGTGGATTTTGTAGCTAGGATCTTATCAGACATAAATTCACAGAAACACTCAAGATATCTGAGGGGAAGTTGTTATGGTAGGGGTATCCTAAATCACAATGCCGTAGGTGAAACAACTGCGATTAGTGTGTCCCTAAGGTAACAACTGATAAATCTCAGGGCGTTGATGGTTAGTAGGTGTTTTAGACATTCACATAGCAATGATAGTAATAAAAGAAAGTATAATCGTGGCCCAAAATGGGGTACAAACCATAACCACTTCCTTTAAAATGTGTGATAGACTAAAAATAGTAAAATAAGACAAAAGGCTCTTAGGCAAGTTGGAAATAGGCTGTTAAGTAGGGAAAAGGATAGGAGAATACATACATATATAATAGATAAGTGAACATTGTAAAATGAGGAACTAGATATATACATATAAACAAGTAGGTATTTGTAAGTGGGTACCTAATACATGAGGTAAATAATAAACATAAACAAATAAACATATTAAATTTGAACAAGTCAAAGTCTACATTTAGACCATAGGGGGTTAATGTTTTAAGTTAAATACCCATTCCATTTCATCTTTACCTAGAATGTTTTCCCACCTCTCCATAGGGTCACACATTTTTTAATGCCTATGCATTTAAGTAGTTTTGCGTTGTTGCTATGCATACAAAAAGGTTTTGAGACTGAGTGATTTAAATATCCTTTTTTAGTGTTTCTGCAGTGTTCACTTAGTCTTATTTGAGGTTTCTGGTAGTCATACCTACATACTGGAGGCCACAGGGGCACTCCACTAGGTAGATAACATTTTTTTGTGTCACAGCTGATAAAATCCTTAATTTTATAGGTTTTATTAGTTATATTCGATTTGAAGGAAGTAGTTTTGGAGGGGACTGAGGGGTCCGTGTTTTTACAAACAATACATTGTTTACACTTATAAAATCCACTGGCATTGGAAATAAAAGAAGTAGTATTAGGTTTGATCTCTTTAGTAAAATTGGTGGTTAAAATAGACTTAAAATTAGGAGCGACTCTAAAAACGATATTTGGTTTATCTGGTATAATGTTTTTAAGTATTTCATCTTCTTTCCATAAATGCCAGTGTTTTTTTTAATCAGTTTCTTTATGTGACCACTTTTATTACTAAAATTGAAGATGACTGGAATGGGCATGGCATTAATGGTTGGTTGGGTTTTATACGTTAGGAGGTCTGCTCTTTCTTTCTTCTTAATAGTATCTAAAATGGTGTTAAGATGGGTGGGAGAGTAGTTTTTTTTTCGATAAATTTGTCTCTTAAAAAGTTAGCTTGTGTGTTAGTCGTCTAATTGGGAGCAGTTACTACAGAGACGTAGGAAGTGGCTCTGTGGGGCACTTTCTAACCAGGGCTTGTAATGACAGCTAGAGCGCTCAATGGCTGTATTAACACATTTTTTTTTAAAAAAATACCTTTTTTAAAATTCTATTCTCTTTAATAAAAATATTGAGGTCTAAATAGTTAATAGATTTTTTACTTGTTTCACAGGATAAAATGATACCGCTATTGTTTTGATTAAGATGGTGAATAAGAGTTAAAAATGTAAGCACTATAATAATATTTGCTCCAAGAAACACACCAGGGCTTATTTTCAGGGGATGTCTTATTTTTAATGTACGGTACAACGATAAATGTACAACAAAACATTTATTCACAGACAATCATGCCAACTTCTTCTGGAACATCGGCATAGCTTTCTTACCCATGAATTCCGGCCTAAGTTTCTTGCAACTCCATTTTCTGTAGAAGCTTTGACCCCAATCTCTCATGTCCAGCAATATAGCTCTCCTTAAATAAGTACTTCTTGTCCATGTAGAACCACAAATACCTAGATACATTGTATATGTGGCGCTTCACAATATACAACAAAATCAAATCTAGTACCAGCAGCTATAGCACCATCAGTGGATATCCCAAAATTCCACTGAAATACAGAATGTGAACAGAAGAGTGGACTCCAAGGTTTAGGTGATAATCCCACCACTTAACATGCAGAGACCCAAGGTGCAGCGCTTTAAAAAAATATATAATAGTGTGATACTGTATTATAAATAGTGAGCTTTAAATTAGAGTGAGTGTATACATAAACTCACATTTTTCGATATCGGCTCAGAACAAAAAACTGATCTGGATTCTCAGGTATACCAGAAGACCTTCTTTTGTATATTCACTCCCTGTTGGTAAATATGGAGATAAAATAGAGAAATCAACAATCTAGGTGACACTGTTTTTCAAAATCACAGAATGAAGTATATCAATGAGCTTCTCACCTTTTTAGGAGCCGGTTTGATAACTGGCTCCAAAACATCCACTTAGTGTCAACTTTTAGGGTGACCCTGCCCTTTCAGGAACAAGAAAAGGATCAAATAATGCAGCAGTGAGTAAGGAACTTATTCCAAAGACTAGACTTTAGACTTTAATTATAACATAAAAACAAAAGCTAATAAAAAAGATTAAAAGATATCAAAGTATTTAAGTCCTCCAAGTTCAAGACGCGTTTCTCCACTGAATGGGTTCCCGGTTCCACTTTTAAGTCCGTGGAGACTCCTCCTTCCTGCGTCCTTAACCAATCAGGGGGCTTCTTTACAGCTGTCCTCCATTTTTCTTGATGCGGACGTCATTACTTCGTGGTTCGCCAAACGGAAGTGACGCGATGGACAAACGCCACTTCCGGTTAGCGTCATATGAACTACATTACACTCCTCCTTTTGATGAGAGAAAAAAAGTTTTGTTTCCGATTCATACGATATCAGAGTGTTTATATCCATTTGAGGGTTATATGGAAAGAAAGAAATAAAGTATAAGAGAGATATCAGTATAGAAACATTTTCATATGTATATTAATATTGAACTCTCTCTATCTATCTATATATATATATATATATATATTTTTTATTTTTTTTTCGCTAAAAAACACTTTATTTAAAAAGATAAACACAAACCCTATTAAATGTAGAAATATATAATCATTATAAAAACCTCATCTATAAAAAAATGACACAACTCAAAATCCTCATTGAGACCCATAGGGGTCAAAGTGTTTAAGTTAAAAATCCATCTAATTTCACGCCTACCCAGATTCTGTACAATATCATCAATGCAGGTAACGTGCACTTTTGTAACCAGTGGAGCGAATGTAGATTGATGAGGCATCCCTCTGATCAATTGTCGTTTGAGATCCTTGGCCCATAAACACTGCAGTTTCATCCATAGCAATCATGTTGGAGAATTGGTACTTAGAAAAGTCGATGCTTACAAAACGCAGCCAGAGGGCACATGTCCTTCTTTGAAAACATGTGCCTCCGCGAAACGACACAACCAGGTTTGATATCAAAACTATATGCACACCTTAGCTCTCAAACAAAAGAATGGGGCACGCTCACTTACACTGAAGCATGGGAAAGGGAACTGGGAGAGGAACTCGAGGGCACAGACTGGAGGGAAATTTGGGAGGCTAACGCCTCAGTGTCCATGTGTGTCTCCCTTCAGGAACAGGCAACTAAAACGCTCCTCAGGTGGTATGTCACGCCAGTAGCATTGCACCGAATGGGGAAAACCCCGTCGAACGACTGCTGGAGGGGGTGTGGCCTGAAAGGTACATACCTCCACATGTGGTGGTAATGTCCCCGGCTCCAAAGCTTCTGGAGAGAGACCCAGACTCTCATAAAACGCATTTTCCACAGAGCACCAGACCTGAACCCATGGACATTTCTCCTCAATAGACCCTTAGATAATTGGACACGTAGAGAGCAAAAACTCCTACATAAGGTGATGCTGGCAGCACGGAGAGCTCTGGCGCAAGCATGGTTGAAGGTAGAAACACCTCCCCCGAGTGCAGTTATACATAATATAAAAGACATACACCTTATGGATAGCCTAACGGCTAAAGTCCGAGGCACTGTCTCACAGTTCGAGAAAACATGGGAGCCATGGACCACTAGCGACTTGACTGGAGAAACCGCTCAATAATAGAACAGGGCGAGCACTATACACCCACACTGGACCAACCCTGAAAGAGTTCCTCGGGGACTGAGACGAAAACCCTAGGTGGACTGGCCCCGACGCCCTGCGCTCTGGTGACCCTAACCTACTGCCTTCCCTCTATCTCTGTCTCTTATAGTCTCTCTCTCCTTTAGTTCTACTGGTTAGGAAAAATGGAGCAACCCCAACGCTCCACGCTGCAAATCATTTAGCTGACACATCATACTGTTGTAACACGAGACAACGACGGCACACTGCCAAGCTGGCCTGCCGGCCACTTCTTTTTCTAAGAGGCACTAAAACTTGGTCTAAATATTTGGCATTGTGCCCCACGTAATGCAGGATAGGCGCGGTCCATTAAGCACTTATCGAAATTAGTATATCTCCTTCCCCAGCACTACACACTCCTAATTAACAGATTCTGGAAGAACCCCTTTGGGACAGAGATAGTACATCGGGGCTAACTGGTAATAGCAGCTTATGCCCTGATGACCCCACTCTTCTACCTTTCCTCTATTCTCATTCTTTCCTACTTTTCTACTTACTCCTTCCACTAGTTACTGGGACTGTGGAACAGCCCCAAAGTTCAAAGTTGAAAATTACGTTGTGACAACATAATAATATTATAGGTGAGGAGATGAAGGCATCATGACAAACTGGACTGCCGACTAACTTACCTGTTACAAGGCGTTGCACTGGGCTTACATTCTGAGCATCATGCCTCTCATAACGCAACATTGGCAATGTCTATTTTATGCTTTGATTATGTCATATGTCTTTGTCTTTGCTTTATCATTCTTTCAAAAATAAAGTTAAAAAAAAAAAAAAAAAGAAAAGTCGATGCGATCCACAAAATACTTGAATGCAAGTGCACATTTAATAATGTCAGTATCTTCCAGCTTGAACAGTGTTGTCGATCTTCTTAAGGAAGTCATCCAGCCAGTGTTGTGATTCTTTGATATCTCCTGGGGATAATTCAAACTGTGGTGCCATTGCATGGGTAAATGCTTGAATATCAGCCCTGTGCACAACCAAAGCCTTTGCTCTCCTGTCAGCAATCCATTCACAGATGATGCCTTCCAGCTCAGGAAATAATCGTTGCCGACCTGATCCACACTTGCGCTTCTTGGCATTGCCCTTGTCCACCTGTTGCTTGAGATTATCGCACTATGCTCGCCATTTTTGGACCATTTGGACATCCAACTTCATCTCTTTGCAGAAAGCCATTATATATTTGCCCTGGGAATCCTCCACAATTCTTTTATTGTATGCAACGGAATAGCTCTTTCTTTTTGCACTTATTTTGTCTAGGTGTCAAAATATAACAGACTTTGGTTTTTACAACACTGTCCGTAAGTGAGGATGCACTACTGTAGCAAGCATGTGCCAGAAAGCAGGTCTATATTCGGGGAAATTCCCCCGAACATAGACCAGTTCAATAGTGCATGGAATCCCGCTAATCTATGTTCAGGGAAACTTCCCCGAACATAGATTTGCTTACTAGCGAATGGAATCCCGCGAATATTCGTTCTGGGAAATTTCCCCAAACACAGATTGGCGAAACGCTGACTAGGGCTTATTATCAGGGTAGACTAGTGCTTATTTTTGAGTAATGTCTGATTTTCGGGGAAAGACGATTATCACCAAGGCTTAAAATAGTTTATTAAACGTTCTCTTGAACCAAAAAAAAGAAGAATAATGACTGCTATTGAGGTATGATTGGTTTTTAGTACAAACTTTTTTCCGTCTTCCCTTCTCAACACCATTGACTGTCTAGATTCACCCAATAATTACAATAGGCAGTTTTAAAGAAAAACTATAGGGCCAGGAACACAAACATGTATTCCTGACCCCATAGTGGTAAAAAACACTATCTTGCCACCCCTAAATAAAGTAAAATATTACATGTATTCCAGTCTGCTGGTGCTGTCTCCTCCCCTGATCTGCATCCTTGGCTAACAACATCAGAAGTGATCATCTCAGCCAATCACCATGCTTTTCCATAGGAAAGCATTGGATTGCCTGAGCTTGTCAAGGAGGCAGATCAGGGGCAGTGCCAGCACAAACCTAACTCAGCCCTGGCCAATCAGAATCTCCTCATAGAGATGCATTGAATCAATGCATCTCTATGAGGAAAGTTCAGTGTCTCCATGCAGAGGGTGGAGACACTGTCAGTGCAGCACTGCCCCAGGAAGCACCTCTAGCAGCCATCTGAGGAGTGGCCAGTGGAGATATCCCTATGCTGGAATATAAACACTGCCTTTTCTCTGAAAAGACCATGTTTACTGTACAAAAACCTTAAGGGAATCATTATACTCACCAGAACAAATACAATAAGCTCTAGTTGTTCTGGTGAGTATAATGTCCCTTTAATTTAATACTAACCTCAAAAGTTTCCCTCTGCAGTATCATTACTGATATTGGCAAAGGGAATTCTAAGGTAAAAAAGTTGCTGCCTTCTACTGACTATTTTCAGTATGGTAGGCATGTAATATTGCATTGGAATTAGTTTGCCCAACTGACAAAGCCAAGCACCAATCAAAATGTAATTGGGGCATGGATTGAAAGCCACCAGGGTCTATTCAGATCCAAAATGAGAATCTCTGTGGCTGAGCTTGATTGCTCAGCTTTGATGTTCCCTCTGGATTTAAAGGGCTGTATGCCGTGCTGATTTACAGCACTGCATGCACCTCATCATAAAGTCTGGGTCACTAATCATGGCCCCAGCTAAAATAAAAGAGGTAAGACCCAGATATCCATTGCTTCACACCAAGATCTTGTTCTTGATCCCATTTAAATGGACACTATAGTCAACTGAACAACTAATGTTGTTGTTCTGGTGAGTATAGGCAGTCCCTGTAGGCATTTCCATGTAAACACTGCCTTTTCTAGGGACACCTCAAATGACAGTCACTCAGACGGCCACTAGAAGCATTTTCTGGTGGTTAGGCGGCTTGGTCGCCAAATGGATGCTGGATGTCCTCACACTCTGCATAAGTGCTATCCGGCGTCAGTCAATACCCCACAGGAAAGCATTGACGCAAAGCTTTCCTATGGGGAAAGCCTAATGGGCTTGAAGCGTACGCCGTGCACTAGCAACCCCATACGGTGCTGTCGGAGGGAGCGGAGCACCGAAGGACAATGATGCTGGAGTCGGGTAAGTACAGTAAGAGTATTTTATCTTTTACTATGCGTGGGGTGGGGGATACTAGCACTATAGTATTCCTATCTTTAAAAGTAGCGCCAAACTGACACTACTGCAGTTTCAGTTGATATACATTAATATATACACTTTTTGCAAAAGAACCTGAAAGAGTGTGTGTGTGTGTATATATATATATATATATATATAGGTATTTTTTATTAATTGTCCTGCTCAAATGTTACATCGCAGCAGCAGCAACTGCTATTTTTTTATTTTTTTTATTTATATCTCAGCATAATCATTTGATAATTCAGTTGCACCAGTGCTTAAAATGTGTGAATGACTAAGCTAGACATGGACGATTGTTTGTTTGTGGAGTTTGTTTGTGGTTGTTGTAAATACTTTTAGAAGCCATAGATAATGAGGGCCATAATACAGCAGATTAACGGAGTAAGTGAGTAGATAGAAATTAACACAAAGAAGTGGGGGTGGCATCGCAAGACAGAGACCTTTGGTCAAGTAGGAAATTGCTCAGGTTCGTTTAATAAGACAACAAGAAAACCAGAATCCTTTCATGTAGCATTGCGAGACTGTACAGGATTTCCAGGTGAGTGAAACAAATAAAATGAGCAGTAGGCATTATATGTAATAAAATAAGGTGGTGGTTGCTAAGCAAAGCTTTGTATAAAATATATGAAATGAGCTGGTTGCATATTTGTAATGTGTGGGTTGAACCATAAAGACTGCGGTGATGATTTCTGTAAATGGTTATAGGAAGAAGTTGTGACACATCACGTGGTGTGTATGCTGCAGTATTCTGAATTCTAGGATGTGGTTGAAATGGCACTTAAGGGAGTTTTTAATTATCTAAATTTAAACTAATTTCATGTTTATTAATATTTTTAAAGAAATTGCTTGCCTACACTACCCAAAAAATGAAGTGTCCCACACAGGGATTATGGTGTGTGTATAAGCAAACCTGAGCATGGGGTAACCCTAAGTTTTATAATAAAGAAAAAGAGTGTATGTCCAAGGGACAAGGTCACTTTGGGCACACAAAAAGGTTGCTTGTTAAATGTAAATCATATAATAAAGTAAATTTTATTTTTATTAAAATTTTATTAACTGGAAGAAAAAACATATATATTGTACATACACATTAAAAAGAGCTATAACGAGATATAGACTCTACAGTAACCACCCAGGGGGGAAATTGAATAAAGACGAGATAAGGGGCGTGATAGGCTATCAATTAAATACTAAAAATAGTATAGATTGTATTGTAGCTCCTTGAATAGTATATGTGATAAGTAATATACTACTTCCAGCTGTTAAACTTCTTGCTTAGGATACTGATTCACATGTGTATTTTATAATTGTTATTGTTTAAAGTTTGTTATATATATATATATATATATATATATATATATATATATATATATATTGTAAAATTGATGTATGTATCAGCTTGACAAAGACCTTTTGGGGTCGAAACGTTGCTGTTGTGGTTCTCAATAAAGTGCCTGGACCCCTATTATTTTACTAATGTATTGTAGCTCCTGACCCCTAAGGATATATTAACTATAGATGGAACCAAAATTATTCAGAAATGTAGCTAAAGTCCTTATAAAGACTTTAAGTAACTCAAATATTCAAATGAACAGAGAGGGATAGAATCAGTTATTACTTGATTGAAAAAAGTAACATCCTATATTGTGGACCCCACATTTATGTCAAATATTCTATCAAGGTACACAGTCTATTGAGATGAGCTAACCTACATTTGATAGTTATACTGCAGTGATAGACTGCTATTAGAATATAGCAGACCCCTCAACATATATGCAGGGTAGATCCATATATGTAGATAGCTGTATGTTATAAGGCAGTGATAAACTGCTCTTAGAGTACAGCTAAACCCTCAACTTATAATATATAGAGAAAAGACTACATGGAAAAGAAAAACCGTAAGTAGACGTAAAGTAAATGTGCTTTAGCATTCAATGATAAGTACTCGGATAGTCTATTACTATAAAGACTAGCTACAGAGTGTTGATCCTGAATGAAGCACTGTGCCTCCTCTGTCCATTACCCAATACGGTTCAATGGACGGAGGAGGCACAGTGCTTCATTCAGGATCAATACTCTGTAGCTAGTCTTTATAGTAATAGACTATCCGAGTACTTATCATTGAATGCTAAAGCACATTTACTTTACGTCTACTTACAGTTTTTCTTTTCTTTTCCATGTAGTCTATCTACAGCTATCTACATATATGGATCTACCCTGCATATATGTTGAGGGATCTGCTGTATTCTAAAAAATAATAAAAATATTAAAATAATAATAAAATATAATAATATTAAAATTAAAATATTTAAAATGCCCTCCCCTCACCTAGTTTACACACACTACACAAACACACACTGCATTCACACACACACACACTGCATTATATACACACTGCATTCATTATACACACAAACTCACACACTGCATTAATTATATACACACACTACACACAAACACACACTGCATTCATTATATACTCGCACACTGCATTAATTATATACACACAAACACACACACTGCATTCATTATATACACACACTACACACAAACACACACACTGCATTCATTATATACACACACACTGTAAATAAATATTCAATTAATGTAATTTTATTGGGATCTAATTTTATTTAGAAATTTACCAGTAGCTGCTGCATTTCCCACCCTAGGCTTATACTCGAGTCAATAAGTTTTCCCATTTTTTTTGTGGTAAAATTAGGGGCCTCGGCTTATATTCGGGTCGACTTATACTCGAGTATATACGTAATATATTCTTAGGGGTCAGGAGCTACAATACAATCTATATATACTATTTTTAGTATTTAATTGACAGCCTATCACGCCCCTTATCTCGTCTTTATTCAATTTCCCCCTGGGTGGTTACTATAGAGTCTATATCTCTTTATAGCTCTTTTTAATGTATATGTACAATGTGTTTTTTCTTCCAGTTAATAAATACAATTTACTTTATTATATTCTATACATTTAACAAGCAACCTTTTCGTGTGCCCAAAGTGACCTTGTCCCTTGGACATACACTCTTTTTCTTTATTACACTACCCAATCCAACTTTTCTAACAGGACAGTTGCAAACTGAGGATTTACTGGGATAACAATCAGTATGACCCAAGATGCATACAAATAGCTGTCATAAATGGGAAATGGGAAAGGCAGGCAAAATTAGATTGCTGTCCAAAAGAGTTCAGTTTTAGGAACAGCTAAGATACTGTGCAGAACCCTCAGACTACCAATCCTCTAGTAGAGGACCTAAAAATGCAGAATAAATATACATATCCCTATATATACATTTACATATCGCCGGGCTCATTGCAAGCCCGGCGGTCCTGTTGGGGGCTGGCAGCGAGCTGTTGCTTACCTTACCGCAGCTCCTGTCAGCTCCCTTCTCCTCCGTGCAGCTCCCCTGTCAGCTCCGTTCTGCTCCCAGTGTAAATCTTGCGACACCCGCGGCCGTCAGAGCGTTGCCACGGGTTACCGTGGCAACGCTCCGCGCGGCACACAGACCATGAGGTTTACACTGGGAGCAGAACAGAGCTGACAGGGGAGCTGCACGGAGGAGAAGGGAGCTGACAGGAGCTGCAGGACGGTAAGTAACAGCTCGCTGCTAGCCCCCCCACTGCACAGCCCATCCACTGGACCACCAGGAATTCACATAGCCTCCCTCCCTGGCCAGGCAACAAGCAGGGAGGGGGGACAAAAAAAATAAAATAAAATAATACAAATATTAAAATAATATTATAATAAAATAATATTAAAATATAATAATATTAAAATAATAAAAATGCCCTCCATTCACCCAGGTTACACACACTACACACACTGCATTATATACACACACTGCATTCACACAAACACACATTGCATTATATACACACTACATTCATACAAACACACACTGCATTATATAAACATACACACTGCATTAATTACAGTTGCAAGAAAAAGTATGTGAACCATTTGGAATGATATGGATTTCTGCACAAATTGGTCATAAAATGCATAAAGCTGGAAAAGGTTATAAAAGTATCTCCAAAAGCCTTGCTGTTCATCAGTCCACGGTAAGACAAATTGTCTATAAATGGAGAAAGTTCAGCACTGCTGCTACTCTCCCTAGGAGTGGCCGTCCTGTAAAGATGACTGCAAGAGCACAGCGCAGACTGCTCAATGAAGTGAAGAAGAATCCTAGAGTGTCAGCTAAAGACTTACAAAAGTCACTGGCAAATGCTAACATCCCTGTTAGCGAATCTACAATACATAAAACACTAAACAAGAATGGATTTCATGGGAGGATACCACAGAGGAAGCCACTGCTGTCCAAACAAAATATTGCTGCACATTTACAGTTTGCACAAGAGCACCTGGATGTTCCACAGCAGTACTGGCAAAATATTCTGTGGACAGTCGAAACCAAAGTTGATTTGTTTGGAAGAAACACACAACACTATGTGTGGGGGAAAAAAAAGGCACAGCACACCAACATCAAAACCTCATCCCAACTGTGAAGTATGGTGGTGGGGGCATCATGGTTTGGGGCTGCGTCAGGGCCTGGACGGATTGCTATCATCGAAGGAAAAATGAATTCCCAAGTGTATCAAGATATTTTTCAGGAGAACTTAAGGCCATCTGTCTACCAGCTGAAGCTCAACAGAAGATAGGTGTTGTAACTAGACAATGACCCAAAGCATAGAAGTAAATCAACAACAGAATGGCTTAAACAGAAGAAAATACGCCTTCTGAAGGGGCCCAGTCAGAGTCCTGACCTCAACCCGATTGAGATGCTGTGGCATAACTTCAAGAAAGCGATTCACACCAGACATCCCAAGAATATTGCTGAACTGAAACAGCTCTGTAAAGAGGAATGGTCAAGAATTACTCCTGACCATTGTGCACGTCTGATCTGCAACTACAGGAAACGTTTGGTTGAAGTTATTGCTGCCAAAGAAGGTTCAACCAGTTATTAAATCCAAGGGTTCACATACTTTTTCCACCTGCACTGTGAATGTTTACATGGTGTTCAATAAAAACATGGCAACATTTCATTATTTGTGTGTTATTAGTTTAAGCAGACTGTGATTGTCTATTGTTGTGACTTAGATGATAATCAGATCACATTTTATGACCAATTTGTGCAGAAATCCATATCATTCCAAAGGGTTGACATACTTTTTCTTGCAACTGTATATACACACACTACACACACACACACTGCATTAATTATATACACACACTACACACAAACACACACTGCATTCATTATATACACACACTGTAAATAAATATTCAATTAATCTACTTTTATTGGGATCTAATTTTATTTAGAAATTTACCAGTAGCTGCTGCATTTCCCACCCTAGGCTTATACTCGAGTCAATAAGTTTTCCCATTTTTTTTGTGTGGTATAATTAGGGGCCTGAAGGCATGGCCTGAAGTTGTGGGAGGGGTTATAGACCTATAAAAGGGACTCCCCCCTTTCCCTACTTACCTTTGTTGGCCAGACGAATAGACTGTTCAAGGTCAGCATTTGCATGAGATCCACTTCCAGGTCATACAAGATGCCATTTTGGTTTCACTTCTGCTCCATGAGGTCTCCTACTCCAAGCTGTGTCCAGGAATCCTGCAGCAGGGCTTTCCATTAATCAAGTGGCTTTCTCTCCGGTCAGCATCGCATTTGGTGTCTCAGGGACTCTCAAACCGTAAGTTGACCCACCTGTCGCGCCAGGATTAGTTCCCATGGCGTTCAGCACAGCACAGGTCCTCACTTCACGGTTTCCTTTCGTTTTGCACGGTCATTTCGTTACCTTATACTCACCTAGCTGTTCATTTAAAATCTGTTGTTTAAAATCTGTTTTGGTTAAAATCTGTTCTGTCCTGTCATTTGGTGTACTACAGGCTTCTCAGACATTATTGCATTTCATGTACAAACCAATAAACCACTGCATTTTCACCTACACACTGACCCCTACCGGTCATTCAGTTTACTACAGGCTTCTCAGATATTATTGCATTTCATGTACAAACCAACAAACCACTGCATTTGCGCCTACACACTGACCCCTACCGATCATTCGGTGTACTATAGGCTTCTCAGACATTATTGCATTTCATGTACAAACCAACGCACCACGGCATTTTCGTCTACATGCTGACCCCTACCGGTCAATAAGTATACTACAGGCTTCTCAGACTTTATTTCACTTCATAAGCAAACATAATACCAGGTACATACACCTGCTCATGTGGTATATACATACATTTTCTGTTTCCCCCTGTGTATATCCTTAGCGTACTGGCAATTAGGGACTATAGGTTTCCAATAGGTATTCTCCTTTCTTGGCATCTACACCTGTCGTATAGTGGTCCCGCGAGGCCAACACCCCGCCTTAACGCTTGGAGGCAAACACCCATCGGGCCACTCGTGAGCTAGCCGCCTCGCATGTTATGTAGAGAGGGCCTCACATGTCACTCCCTTCCCCTTTTTTTCTGGTTACAGTCACCGAGAGGCCAACATCCTGCCACTATGTTTGGTGGCCACAAAAATCCCCTCGTGCCATTGCATAGATAGAGCCTCTCAAGCCACTTGGCAACTAGCAGGGCCTCACCTGTCCCAAAACAAAAGATTAATTGTTTGGCCATGCGGCTTTAGCTAGCAAGCCAGTACTAGCACACCGTCGGTTCATATAATAATGGCTATCTTCATGTTTTTAGTATGTATCAAGCAGGTGGTAAGGATTTCTCTCTACCTAACACTCCAGCTAGAGTCAACACACTTTCACTTTGAGAAGATGTTGCTAGTCCCACACGACAATTTTGTCCCAACACAGCGGACGATCACGTTTCAGGCTCCAGGTTCTAGCACTTCTGGTAGTACGTAGAGAACTACCAGAGACAAATTGGGTTATCTCATTCTCTTTGGCAAATCCCAGATTTGCAACAATTTCCATGTTGGCACATGTAGTTTCAGTGCATGCAGACTATTGCAGATATGTTCTCAATATGTCAGGGCACATGCAAACCATGTGTCCCAATAAATGTACCCTGAACCTTACTTCACGTCTGTAAACATTATGCATTTCCAGTACTTTCTAACTCATCACCCTTCCAGACATTTAGTTGATTTCCTAATCTCTGAATTTTAAAGACCTTCCGTACAGGTAATGCCATATACTTTTGGGGGAATCTAGAATGCCCTAACTTGCAGTCATCACAGCAGCATCCAACAGCTGGCATTACACTCATGGCCCAAGAAATGGCAGAAAGATTTCTACCTGGGCCTCTCCGATCTACACCATTTACAGCGTGGCGCAATCCCATTGGGATTGTCACAGGGAATCTTCCCTCACACTGTAACTGATCATAGACTTATCTGCACCTCATGCCTCGGCTACCCCAAGTCTCAACTCCTTCATACCCTCCGAGGAGTTTTCATTACAGTATGCCACCATTGTTCATAACATTACAGCTATCACTCAAGCGGGAGGGGGGGTGGGAAGCCTGGTTAAGTAAAACTGATATCACAAGCGCATTTCAGACTGCCACCATCCACCCTACACTGGCACTTACAGGGCATGTATGGGCAGCAGTTATATATTTCTTCTTCCGCTTAACTTTCGGGTCAAGAGCAGCCCACAATCTTCAATATATTCGTTGAACTCTTTGCTGGTTTTGGTTAAACATATCCAGATGCCCCACAGTCATACACTCACGAAATGATTTCTTATTGGTCAAAGGGAACGCCTTTCCCTTTAGAAGCTTTAAGGAAGCCATTTGTATGTCTTGGGTGTCCCAGTATTCCCTAAGGTCAGATAGCTGGTTTGATGTTTCACCACTTATGGCCTTCGCCTCTGTTTGCCACCTTAAGTTAAAAATTCTTGCACAACACAGTTAAACTTATCTCACAGGCATTCAACACTATACGTATTTCTTCTTCCCAAACAACAAGGGTTCCTATACTCCTACCCCATCCATACCTTACTTAGAGACATAGCCAAGCGAACGTTCCCGCTAAACTAAATACTGGCCATAGACATACAATGTTCAAACCATGTCACAACTACTCGACCATGCACCTTCCGAGCCACGCACCAAGGCAGTTATCAAAACCTGCTACCTATCTAGCCTTTAACGACTTCCTCAGGCCAAAAAATAACTCCCTATCAGAGGCCAACATCATAAACAACAGTGCCTGTTGACCTCTTATCTTCTAAAACACACAGACCACTATGTCCAGTCTCTTCCTAAAGACGAGTCAGATGGGCGAGCCAGTGCATATAACCTACTACCTTACAAGCAATGCTGGGTGCCCAGTTAAGGTACTGGTTGCGTTCTTGGGCACGCCACCATATGCACCACTGAACCATTACTGTCGCTGTATGATCCTGTCCTTACCACAGGTAAGTTCATGCACTATGTCCACTCATTCACCGGGCTCGAAGTAAACCCTACCGACTACTCAGGGCACTCCTTTAGGAAAGGAGCAGCCTCCACGGCCTATAGCCAAGACATCCCCATACATGTTAAGACACGGGGCCGCCTGGAATCATAGGCTTATGCAACTTACATACCACAGCCGGTTCAGGAATTAGGAAGCTTTCATTAAAATGTCTACCTGATGGTTAACAAATGCACTACAACCCATCTTATTCTATATCATATGAGAATGCCCCAAACACAAATATATAATTTTCCACAGAGTGCAGTAGGCTTGCACTCATTGGAGTCAAAGTCCACATCTACTCATTTACATGTCAAACTGGGAACATGATTTCTTGTTCCTGTGCCCAAGAAAGACCCCTCAAAGTCCAACCTAAGATATGCAGGTGATGCATAGCAGTACATTTTCTATTTGCACTGTGGGGAGTTTTATCGGATTTGGTCTCACCACAATCTTTTTGGTTCGTAGCAGTATTTTACAGGATACAAAGACATTTTAGACAGTTAGATGCTGCCAATAGTTTGGGAAAGCCCGTATTTTTAAAGCATAACTGTGCACAAAGCTATGTCCATAGAGACATGGTTTGATAGTTTTTGGTGTGGAGAAACTCTAGCTGCCTGCTCAGAGCCCTGACCTCAAACACCCTTAGAATGAACTGGAACTGCAAGTGAGACCTTCTTGTCCAACAACAGTGCCTTACTATACAAGTGCTCTTTTGGTTAAAAGGGCACAAATTCTAAGATTCAATCCCAAAGCTTTCCGGAAGAGTGACGGTCCAAGCCGCAGGAATGGAGGTTTGGAATGGGATGTCCAACAAGTTCATATACGTGTGATGGTAAGGTGTTCACATAGTTTTGGCCATGAAGTGCAGGTGTACATTACACAATAATGCTTACATAGGCTATAACATTCTACTTTAAATAATAAAAATTATTAATTCATTAACAAAAGGATAGATCAAAAGCATTGGACTGTGGTTCAAACATCTCACTAGCTGAAACAAGCTATCTAGCTTAAAAGGGGTTGTGAGACTCATCTGGTGTAACAGATTACATTGTGTGCCTTCAAAGTAACGCAAAAAAACAATGTACACATATATAACTTACAATCGGACAGTGACTTTTTCCAATCTGCTTTGAAGGCACATGATGTTCCCACTGGAGATGGCCATCTAATTTTTGACTTGAGGATTTGTCACTATTTTGTGTTCTTTCACATGTGTGGGAATTAAAAGTCTGGACATAACTTCTGGCACTCGTGAATTGTGGGGAAATAACACCTCCACAATATCTTCCACCATTCTTCTTCCAAACTTTATTTCAGTATCTGAGGGTGAAAAGTCTGAAACTATAACTGCTATCATTTCATCTTGAAAGAAACATTGCAACCACCGTAACCTTTCTAGTCTGCTGTAGTGGTTGTGGTGCCAGGAGTGCTCTGGTTCTTCCTAAAGTAAGTAGGCAAACAATTTAAAGTGTCACTATGGTCCCCAAAACAACTTTAGCTTAATGAATCAGTTTTGTGTGTAGATTATGCCTCTAAAGTTTCATGACTCAATTCACTACCAGTTAGGAGTTTATGTGCAATAAGTGTAATAAGATGACTCTTTGCAGGAAGTATTTAGGAAGACTGTGTAGGTCACATGCAGGGAGGTGTGCCTATGGCTGCATAAACAAAGTGATTTAAATCATAAATGGCAGAGAATTGTGCAGAGAGAATGCAAGGTCATGATCTATACATCAAAACTGCTTCATTAAGTTGTTTTGGTGACTATATTTCCCTTTAACACCTGGGTCGCCACCTTCCCTGCTGCTGGAGCTCTGCCACTAATTCTTGCTATGGGAGGATGTCAGGGGATTCATGACCACTATAATGTGCTGTAGGGGCTGTGGTGTTTTGAGTGTTTATTTAATAGCTTATATATATATATAGCATTTGAACTGCTCTTTTGAGGATATTTTTTTTTTTTTTTTTTTTGCTAGCCCCCCCAAAATAAAACTGCTGTATGAGACCAATTATTTTGCCTGGTTTCCAGTATAGCCTATTCCTCCAATAACTGCTTCTCAACAATAAGAACTATTCTTCAATATGGTACCCTTGATCTCTGCATTCCCTTAACCCCTTAAGGACACATGACATGTGTGACATGTCATGATTCCCTTTTATTCCAGAAGTTTGGTCCTTAAGGGGTTAAAGCAAACTCCAACTAGACAATGAAGTTGTAAGCCTAAGACCCTCAAACTTTGTAAATGTATTAAAGGACCACTCTAGGCACCCAGACCACTTCAGCTTAATGAAGTGGTCTGGGTGCCTGGTCCAGCTAGGGTTAACCCATTTTTTAATAAACATAGCAGTTTCAGAGAAACTGCTATGTTTATGAATGGGTTAAGCCTTCCCCCTAATCCTCTAGTGGCTGTCTCATTGACAGCCACTAGAAGCGCTTGCGTGCTTCTCACTGTGATTTTCACAGTGAGAGCACGCAAGCGTCCATAGGAAAGCATTGTAAATGCTTTCCTATGCGACGGGCTGAATGCGCGCGCAGCTCTTGCCGCGCGTGCGCATTCAGCCCAGGAGGAGGAGAAGAGGAGGATCGGAGGAGGAGAGCTCTCTGCCCAGCGCTGGAAAAAGGTAAGTTTTTAACCCTTTTCCCCTTCCAGAGCCGGGCGGGAGGGGGACCCTGAGGGTGGGGGCACCCTCAGGGCACTATAGTGCCAGGAAAACGAGTGTTTTCCTGGCACTATAGTGGTCCTTTAAGAAAAAAAAAAGTTCACTGTTGTGTTTCTACTAGTTTTGTGCACACAAGCATTTGTAATTTAAAGTATCTGTATACATTAAACATCAAGACTGTATAAGCTTCTTTACCTTTCACAAAAAAATCAGCCTCTTTGACAGTGGCAGAATAATTAATTGTAAAGGAGTATTTTTTCATTTTTATTTTTTCGTGTGTCCGTGTACTCGTCCCCAGCATGATCCGTACTCCACAATTGACAATCTACTGCTCAACGGGAATGGAATGGCCAAGTTCCTCCAATCAGAGATTAATAGGATCACTTGGTCTGACCATGCCGATATCATGGTAACCCTCTGCAAACTTAAATATTCCTCTAACTGGACCTGGAAACTAAATACTAACCTTCTCAATGATGAGGAAATATGCCATTAAACGAGTGCGGTAATTAAAGCATATTTTGCCCAGAATGACATTCATGCAACAAATCAAGCTGCAAAATGGGCAGCACACAAGTCTGTTTTAAGGGTGCCCTTCATAAAAGTAGCCACTTGCAAAAAATTTTTTTTACAAAATACTCAATTCAAAGACGTGCAATCTGCTTTGAGGAAAGTGGAACGGCAACACAAAACCGGTCCTATAGTCTCTCTAAATTAAATGAACTAAATACATTTAGGCACTCAATCAAAGAACTATCGCTCGAGGGAGTAGCCTGCTCTTTATTTTGGTTCAGACGCATGTTCTAAGAAAAGTCAAATAAGATTGATACCCTTTTAGCTAGAAATCTGCGACCTAGAAGCAGATTTAGTTCATTACCAAAATTCGTACTATAGCAGGTAATTCTGACGTAAACACATCACATTCCTTTTAAACTTTCAATTATAACTTTCTGAAATCCGTCCTCTATAATCACATTGGCCCTATCACCACTACCAAGTGGCCAGTTCATAAATGCACTACACAAATTACATTAAACAGCAATATTCTTTAGTGCAACAATGAATTATCCTTAGCGTGACAATTCCAACATGCCATCAGACATCATCCACACGTACAAGGGGTGACTATAGCTGAACGTCCGTTCAAGGTGATGTACTCACTCTGACTAACCCACTATTCTCCTTTAGAACAACTGACTAAATTGTTTGATCACTATGGCAACCTTTTAGGTTATAAAGTCAATCAAACAAAATATAGGGCCATGCCCCCGGACGTAGCACTGATCCAAAGCAAGTCTCATCTACAAATTTGTACCAAGACACTTGCATATCTAGGAATACAGCTTACGACTGATCATATCAAACAATGTAAGCACAATTTCCCTCAGCTGTTCCTTTCCTTAATCAGGTCTTGGAACATTGGATGGATAGACCAATTATTAACTCAATAGATTAGCCTCCCCAATACTCTAAAACAGGGCTTTTCCACTCAGGATGAGATCCAGAGACTTTAGGGGTACCGAGTACACAGATCTCCAAAGATACATTCACCAATATGTGGATAATGACATAGTCACTTACAATAGGTTGAAAGAAAGTGCCCAACTTCAGACAAGGGACTGCTTTCACTACCTTCAAGGGGACAAGGGGTTCGTGCAGCAGCTATGACCTTTTTTGAGAAAATGTGCTTTGAGTAGAAGCCTCCAGTTGGCTTGTTCTCACTCTCAACCATAACCTTAGCAGCGAGCCTGCAGAGTGGGGGGTTTGAGATACACTGACCAGTGGGAGAAAGACCTGGATGATGTGCTTGAGGACACAGATTGGGAGGAAATTGCAAAATCCTCCATTTGTGTAACTCTTCAAGAGCAATCATTTTAAAGCATTATTTAGCTAGTACACCTCAGTGAAACAATCTCACATGAGATTGAGCACCACTGACACTTGCTGGAACCTGTATGGTGATAGAGGCAGTTATATTCACATGTGCTGGACTTTTCCCTACAGTCTGAGACTTCTCAAACAGGGTGGTGGACCTGGGATCCAAGATCCTATAAAGATGGTTAGATGTTAATCTTTGGGCTTGTCTCCTCTCTAAACCCACCGAAGGCCTACCCAAACATGAACAGAAACTAATCTAAACAGCCAACAACCTGAAAAGAGGTCATGAAACATATAGACGAGGCAAAGACTACTGAGGATTACAACACCTCTAGATAACAGTGGAAACTACAATAAAAAACTAAGAATATAGCAGAGTGAGCAACTGCAAATCACCTGACCATAGTTAACGCAATCGACAAACTGCAATTACCATGCAACAAGCTCTGTAAGTATTATAAATCTAAATTCTACTAAGTCTAGAGACCTGTGAGTCTAATCTACTACTACTTCTTTGGAGATCTGCATATCTCAAATCACCAAACGAGACTTTGAATGACTGAAACCTGCGTGTTTCGCACTGCTCACAGACTAAATGTGTTTTGTTTAACTTGAAACTATCTCAATAAAATAAAATGATATATTTAAAAAAAAAAAAGTAATCAGCTGCCCGTAGAGCTCTCGCACAGAGGTGGGTAACCCCGGAATTGTCTATACTCACAATGGTTGTAACAAAGATCAGGTACAATTACTTTATTGGTAAATTAACCTTTACAGGTTTTGAAATTCTATTAAGCCCTTTTAAAAAGTATGGGACCTATAGGAGCAATAAGATACGTAATAAGTAGTGATGTCCCGAACTGTTCGCCGTTCATTGAGTAAACTTTGACCCTGTACCTCACAGTCAGCAGCAGACCCTCCCTCCCAGACCCTCCCACCTCCTGGACAGCATCCATTGTGAAGCTGCATTCTTAGTGAGCTGTCCAGGAGGTGGGAGGGTCTGGGAGGGAGGGTCTGCTGCTGATTGGCTGGAATGTGTCTGCTGACTGGGAGGTACAGGGTCAAAGTTTACTCAATGATGAGTCCGCGGCGAACCGTTCGCTAACAGTTCAGGACATCACTAGTAATAAGTTGTCGTACTTCCTCACACTACTCTGATAAACAAGATGGAGGGCATGGAATTCTGTTGTCTTCCAGTGTCATAGGGTTGTTTTGCAGTTTTGTTTTTTGTAGTTGTTGTCCTTTAATCATGTCGATATGCCAATCACGTTTTTTCCTACTCATATGTCAAACATACCAAGTACCTATCACAGTGTATACAACTTTCCTCCTGATTACAAATCTGTTCATCTAGCTAACCACTTTTTCTCATTAAAGCGAGACACTATGGCACTCTTATCTCCCACCTATAGATATAACTCTTATTGTATTAGCTATGCTGTACGTTGGATATAAGCTTCTTGTAACATGGCATTCTGTGTTATGAAAGTTTTTATTATTGTAAACCTTTCTTTTGGCAAGCACATATTGTATTACTGACAATATATACATTTAATCTGCTTGTCATTAAAGAAAGAATTTTAAATAAAAATAAATTGAACACCAATACTTTTTATGAATACACACAATCACAATACTGTTTGAACATGTAAAGAACCCTGCTTTTATGTTTTGGATAGTACTCCAGATGCTTTAAAGGAACACTATAGAGTTAGGAATACAAACCTGTGCCTCTTTCCCTAGTTATATTCAGGTACCCAGCTGAGACTCGCTCAGTGCTGCGGGCCTCTCTCCGCCTCCCGCAATGTTATCAAGACGGCATGACTTTCTATGGCGATGGTCGTCCTTGAGATGAAGTGGTCTGGGTGCCATGGATAAAGTGTTAAAGTTGCATCTGTGTTTTAGTATTTGATTATCCTAACAATAAGCTTGTTAATATTGAATTGTTGAATGCAAATGTTCTTATTCCGCTGAAGGCTCATTCATATATAGGCTGAGCCATAACCTTTTCCCCTAGTAACACAAGCAACCTTTGTCTGACAGTGTGAACATTTATCACATTGTCATTTTTATCAGTGGAAAGGACTTTTAATATTTTCTACTAGTAATTGGCAGATAAAACCTTGTAACCGAGTTATTTTTTTAAATTTATTTTCTCTTTCTACAGAGTTTGCTACATATAATGGAAATGGAATACATGGGTCATATAATGTGATGGATTTTCTTGATGTACCAGGGGTGGGAACATATGAGGATTTTAATACAATCGACTGGGTGAGAGAAAAGTCACGTGACCGAGATCGGCACAGAGAGGTGAGACCAGATTTATACCTTCAGTATGTATGTATTTGTATAAACAGATGTATCCTTATTTGTGACATTATAACTTCTTACTAACTTAAAATGATTTACTATTTTGAAAAAATATTTTAATATATTGATATTATTGCTATACTGATATTTTACAAAAAAAGTTAACGTTTATCCTGATATATGAAATTGTTGTTGTGGGCTGCAGCTTGTTACCAGAATTGTTATACTGATTAAATATAACTGGAGGTGCACTGGTTCACCGGTCACAGTACCAGAAAGTGAGATGGCAGATGGAAAGTGTAGGCCAGAATTGCCAGCACAGAATTATATGGGTTAATAAGCTACATTTTTGTACTTTATAAAATGGGGCATTTCACTTTATAAAATGCCAGTAATGCATTATGGGAGATGTAGTCCAAAACATTTAGAGTGCCGAAGGTTGCCTACCCCTGCGTCTAAACCATTTGGGAGCAGAATAGACATTGATAATGTGGAAGTGTAAATACTAATTTAAAAAGGGGGAAATGTAGAATCTGCTGCAGAAAGGTGTAATTTTTTGTTGTGTTTCCCCCTCCCCCCCCCCAGACCATTACATGTAGTGAACGTTGCACTATGATGACTACACTGAACTTTGTAGTGCTTCTATAAATAATGACATGCCATACATCTAATGGAGCAAAAATGAAAAAGCACTGTAGCTTAAAGGTTGGACTTGTGTAGGAAAAACAATTTTTTAACATTAAATAAATCCTCTCAGAATAACAAACTGTAATTTATCTTGAACTGCAAAAATAATTCTTATGCAGTATTCTGTATGTTAAAGCGGCTATGTAACCTTCTAGCGTCTCTGCGTATTGTATTCGGATGGTAATGAGGGGCAGAGGAATGTAGTTTTTATTTATCTGAACTTATGTCTCCTAGCACCGCTATCTTTGTTCTTGAGATCCTCTTAAGCACCTAGCACTTCAACTGCCAGAAGCTTACCACAGCACAGTCCTCTCTCACACATGCGTGAAAGTACAACACTGATATCTATGGAGGATCCGCAAGACCGTTTGATCCTACGTAGAAAGAGTCTTTTTGCTATGAGCAATCCCTAGTAACGACTGAGGGCTTGACAAGAGGTAGCTCTGTATAAGACAAAATAGTCCCTTTTGGCTTGGTTGGAATTTCTGTGAAAATTCTTCAAACACTGTCTTGAAGAGCATTTCATAAAAATGGTCTCTTTATGAAATTCTCAAAACATATTTTTGGCAGGGAGGGAGGGTGGGGGTGCTTTACCTGTGACTCCTTTGTCTTATCTTTCCATTTTGTAAACCCTACTGTCAGTGTATATGAGTATAATGCTCACACTACAAAAAGGGGAATACATCATGCAGGGTGCTCCAGAAAGGGAGACCTCAAATGGAAGAAAAGATAACTATCCAGGCACACCTGAGTAGTGATGTCCCGAACTATTTGCCGAACGGTTCGCCGCGGACTCATCATTGAGTAAACCTTGACCCTGTACCTCACAGTCAGCAGACACATTCCAGCCAATCAGCAGCAGACCCTCCCACCTCCTGGACAGCTCACTAAGAATGCAGCTTCACAATGGATGCTGTCCAGGAGGTGGGAGGGTCTGGGAGGGAGGGTCTGCTGCTGACTGTGAGGTACAGGGTCAAAGTTTACTCAATGAACGGCGAACAGTTCGGGACATCACTACACCTGGGCTGTCTTCTAAAAAGCAGAAAAAACATTTTTAACAATAAACTGGAGACAATGTTGCTGCTCCTCTCTGAGCCTTTATCAAGGGTCATATTGCATCAGTGCATATTTTGTTGACCCTTTACCTTAAATATAAAAATGAGTGGCAAGATTGTCTATTACATCTTGTCCCTATCTCAACGCATTGAGGCTTACTTGTATTTCATGATTACCACCCAAAACATTGATTGGCAAACAAGTGAGTCATTTGCACCCTGTAAAGCAAATGTAATTGTCAATAATTGTACATTTGTAATATTATTATTATTTTTGAGTAATGGTATTACACAGCTTTTTCACTAGCGCTTGAAGGCTGATGCTTTCTAGAAATCCTTTCTTATCACACTAGAATTTGCTGTTAGTTTCCCTGTGGTTAATATGCTATGTGATTATATATATATATATATATATTTTTTTTTTTTTTTCTTCCTAAGATCCTGAGTAAGAGTAAAGAGTCCACCTGGGCACTTTTGCACAGTGTCAGTGATGCCTTCTCTGGATGGTTGCTTATGCTACTTATTGGCCTTTTTGCAGGTAAGGTATTACAATAAACTGCAATAATTGAGGGAACTATTTTTTAAAATGTGTTGGAATTCCATTTATTAACCAGACTCCACATCTCACACTTCATAATTAGAGTTGGTTCACAGAGCAGTACTGAATAACCTTCAAAGTTCCATTTACAGACATTAACCAATTCTGTTGAATAGGGTTCGCTATATAAACTTGTTTTTTAAAAAAAATACATATATATCTATCTCAAGCTGATGGTCCACACTCGCGGTCTTTATAAAATATAGCTTTTATTGATTTCATGTAAAAGGAAGAATGCCAAAAATTCATCAACGTTTCAGTCCCAGTTCGGGACTTTCCTCAGGACAGCAGATAGATATTTATATGTTCTTTTGAGCAACACTTTAAAAAAAATAAAAAATTCTGGGAGATGAGTCCAACTATTCTTACTCTTGTTAATAGTAAAAGTGTAGGGGGGCATGGCACAGGATCCGACTGAAATGGCCGCCTGAACACAGTGCTCTGCACCACACACTTGCTAAAACAAGCGAGTCAGCGCATTAATTGAAACCCAATGGGTTGCAAAAAGCGTTTGGAATCTCCACAAATTTCCAGGAGTACTATGCCAGTGTTACAGACGGGCCTGATGGCTGAATTTGTCCAAGTGCCTGTGGGACCTGGTCCCAAACGTCTAAGTTGGCGCCTACCTCTCTGGCTTCCACTAACTCTGTGTCGGAGTACACCACCCTGGCTGATATTGGAGCTGATGTAAAACGGATGGCAATGTCTATGGTCAACCAGGATGACCTACAGCAGCTGCCTCTCACCTTATACAAAACGATCACAATGGAGGTCACAGGCTTTAAAACCGAGGTTGTGGCTCAAGAAACCTGAATTTTTATCCTGGAGCAAAATTCCCATTCCACCGAGGAAAGAACAGAGGACCTGGACAACCGTGGCCACCGATGTAATATATGGGTGTGCAAGGTGCCCAAGGCTCAGAAGGGAGAGGATGTGGAGACCCAACTGACTTACTCTTTCTCATAATCCTCCGTGAGGAGACACCCGGACATATTCGGTTCGAGCAATTTTTGTGCACTACGACAAAGGCACCCAGGGACCTTATCTGTTGCCTGCATTCATGCCCTGTGAATGACCTGATCATGAGAAAAGCCAAATCTGTAAAGTTCACTAGGGAACCCTAGCTTGCAGACAGGACAGAGTGGAGAAAATTGCAATACCGATCCCTAGAATGGTCGGTATACGCAAAAAGGGATAGTCAAAACACTAGCCGAGGTCAAGGGAAATAGAGAGACCGAATAACGAGAGACAAAGCCAAATATCAGTAACCAGGAAATCCAAATAACAAGTGCAACGCTCAATGATAAACCAAAGGCCACAACAGGGCACTGAGGCAAGGGAGAGGCTGGCTTATATACTGACAGGGTGTGTCTGATTGGCTAACCTAGAATTAGTGTTAACCACAACACGTGGGAGGAGTTTCTTCTCTCACTTGTGGACTCTGAGGTCATCGCTGTGTGCCAGGTCACATGACAGAGTGCAGCACACATATAAGGAAGCTGCTCTGGAGTGTGCAGAGTCAGTGTCACACTGCCAGTCTGGAGACCGGGACCAGATGACGCCGCTTGCTGTGATGAGGTAAGCAAGGACGCCGCGTGCCGGCGGGACGGTGTCCCAGCTCAACGCATTCTGAGGAGTGATCGCGGTGTTGCTCAATTCCTCTGTCGCCGCGCCCAGACCCACAATTGGGGTTATTCATAGTGGTAAAGCCTGGGATTTCTGCTCTGGGGTAAGCCTGGGAGTTGATGGACTCTGCTTTCTCCTGTACCCATTTTGCTTTGGGGCACATGCCTAACTTCCTGCAGTGTAGGGGAAACGCCACCGGGGCAAAGTTCTGACTGGCCGCATATGTGGTCCTAGCCCAAAATGGTTCCAGATCATTTGTTGCTTTTGCCGGTCAACTTTCGGGAGCTTCGAGATCCTCTGCTCTACACTTGTAAGTGTTCCCTTCTGAAGTTTTTAATACCTTTTTTTTAAATTTACTGGGCGTTATTGCCCTATGAGGTTGTTGTCCTTTTTAACATGTGTACCTTCTATGTGGAGTCAACTTATACCAATGTAAATTGTGTGTAAGTAAAATGTGGCATGTTACACTACTGTTTTGCACAAGAATTGAAGCACTTTATTGTTATCTCTTTATTGCACTGGTGCACATTTATTTTTGCACTTCGATATATGTAGCAAATAATATTTATACACGTCTTGAAGACAAAGCTCACCTTATTTGTTTTTAAAATTGTACTGAGTGTTCTTTTGGGTTTATACACTGTGTGAGGTGCATCTTCATTTTAATGTTTATTTGGTCTGCGTATTAGCGCCATTGTTACTTGAATTTGTCTGTTTACCATGACAGTCCTTCAATACCCTGTCAAACAAACTTTTAAGTGGTGGTCTGCCACAATGAGCATTGAAATTCCTGGGTAGAACGGGATACGTCGCGATTCTAAGGTTTTTGACTTCCAACACATATACAAACTTTTTCGCTACTCGTCTCTGCAGCACTTCTACAGTTCACTTCTTCTCTGCATAGGGATCTAACTTGGTTCGATGGGTTATGCAAAAGAGAATCTGATCTAGATGGGGCTAGATTTCTCATTTGCTGGTTGGAGGATTGGAGAACAAACAAACCTTTAAAAGACAATGTAAAAACCATTACGGGCACAATGTTCACTGGACTCTAATGGGACAAAATAATGATCCTTCAGCACAAATCCTCGATTAGCACGCACTATCAAGAGGTAATTTATAAGCTTATTTGCTATAGTACAAAACTCCAGAGCTACTACACAAAATATTCCTAGGCGTTCTGGCAACATGCTGGAGATCCGAAGATGGAATGATTAGAAATATTTGATAGGACTGCCCTCCTATAATTCCGTTCTGGGACATGGTCAAAACCTAAATAACTGACATTCTGAGCGAAATGCGTCCGTTAACAATAGAACAAGTGCAGCTGCATGCCACACCCTCACTGATCTCAAAAAATAGAATAAAAAAAAAAAACTTTTTAAGACACCTTCTTAATACTGCCAAAGCACTAGTGTCTGCCCTCTGGAAACAGACCCATACCCTCACAAAGGAGCAATGGTTTGATAGGGTTGAAGATATCCTGTCTGCCAAAGCAATTCAAGCATCCCTAACTGGATGTGATGCAAGGCATACTAAAATGTGGCAATCTTGGATAGAATTTGTTGCAAGGAGACATGCACAGATTGGGGGGATACAATAGAGGGTCCTGGGGATCGCGCTACCTCTCTGTCTTCTATGTTCCTCAACACACTCTCCTTTTGTCTTCAGACTTTTTATGATGAGATCCCATTGTAAGGGTGACCGCAACCTCACTGACACTTCACTCTAGGTTACGAGACAGATCTTGATCAAGGGGGACGTGAGTGGAGGTGTAGTGACATTGGTGCTGAGTGGATTGGGAGACACGGTTTCGGCTGGCAACAACTAGCTTAACATACTTCTGAACATGATGGAGACATGGTTCTGTTGTAAGATAATGAGCTTGACATAGTACGATTCCTAACTATTACTTACTCTTACGCTCATATTGCTAAATGATCAACATTAGTCTCCGGTATGCTATTATACTAATCCACTTATTGTAGCTTGGATGTTCTAATCACTTACCTACACCTTCAGGTTCGCTGAGACTGTATTATGCCTGGATACCTTGAGCTGACTTATTTTTAAGTTGTTCCAGGCCGCCTACGTGCATGATGTGGATGCTGCCTAGTGTGCCTAAGCGCTCTCCCTCACCTGAGACAGGGAATACAGTATTGTCTAATCTCAGTTATGATTATGACATAAAGCTATATTAGCCTATATAACAACCCATGGGGCTCCCTATCCCCCTGACACCGACTTGATTTTGGCATGGATAATACTGTGGTTCAGTAAAATCTGTATGTCATCTTTATGGTCAGTGATTCATAGGTTACATTAGGTCCTGCGAGGCCCCCTTTTTACTCTTTATCCCTTTTCTGTGTACAACAAGAACTGCTTCAATATTTAAACCTGTTTTTATTAAACATTAACATTGGTTTTAGGATATTCACATTGTGTTAGCCTACATTTAATGTTTAGTAGCAAAAAAACAGCATGTTTATAAATCCTGAAAGTGTGATCAATCCATTTACTGTCTCTGAAGGGAAATTGTCACTTCCCTGGAAATTACACAACTAAATAAAATGAAGACTAACCGATTTAAAAATAAAGAAATAAAAATGTCCTTGTGATTCTACTTTTTATTTTAAATATCCATAAAGATTCAGTGCTTGATGTAACAATCCAATTTAATCTAGGTATAGCCAGGGCACACAATACATTGGATGAGGAGACATAAAAACAGTACTCCTGTTTCTCCTTTTCTCTGTAAAGCATAACAATGATTAACAAGGAGCCAACCTTTTCACAAATGTGTTAATTATAGAGATTAACACCTTATTAAAATCCCTGTGAACTGATGGTTCCCATTTCAAACTGTTATGGGCAAATGCAAATATTACAAGTTTTAGAATGAAATATTGTATTTCTTAAACTGTGTACTTTGTCTTTTAGAGATATTGCAAATTGACAAGGTGTTAGAAATGGAACATATTGTTTTTCATAGCTGTTTCTTTAAGCAATAACCTCAGTGCATAATATGTTTGTGCCATTTTGTCCCAGACGAATTACAATAACAATAATGCATAAAAAAGCTTCAAGGCTATACTACGACACTTGCAGTACATAATATATGGTGGTAACCCCAAGTTAATGGAACTTCCCCAAACCCGGGAATCTCCCACGACTGTACACTTACGACTTAGTATAAACAACAGATAAACTATTCAGACTTTAAGATGCCATCTTGAACTAAGTCAGGAAAATTTCCATGACGTATGCACCCTTTAGTTATGGCCTTGTATGTTTGCCAAGTTAAGGGAGGTCCTAAATTGAATAAAGTAAAAGAAGTGTTACTTTTTCATATTTGAACTACGGTAACCCCAAAATGGAGACACCTAAGGTATAAATAGGTGTACTTTTAAATGTTAAGAAACAGAGGAGAGGCTTGGAGACAGACGCTGCTTCATCTTAAAATGACAGAGAGGCTGACATGATGACATGTTCAGAAGGGTATGTTAACCTATTAATGATATTTGCAAGCATGGAATTTAATCTTATAAACTCTGCTATAATGGATTTTATATTTTTATATAATAAATATCCAAAAAGACAAAACTATTGCTTCCAAGACAATCCTTATTTTATATTGCATTCTCAATTATTTATATATGTTAAATAGAGGATCTCTTACACTAAATAAAATTATGGCTAAGATATCTGTATGGTTAGCCCTACTAAGTTCTATGCTTTAAGACATTATAGTGGTAAATAAGGGAACCACCTGCGGTTACAAAACAAGATTCATTTAGTGTTGTGTATGTATACTGTTATTACCTCAGGAAGTTTATGGATTTTAAGAAGAAAAAAAAACCTTTTCAGTAAAAAGTATTTATGCATATTTTTTATGCTCTTTCACCCCTTCTATTTGTAGGCTCTTTAGCAGGCTTAATAGACATCTCCTCTCATTGGATGACAGACCTTAAGGAGGGTATTTGTGTAGATGAGTTCTGGCTAACCCAAGAACAGTGCTGTTGGAAATCAGAAAATGTGACCTTTGAAAACCCAAATGACTGCCCAAAGTGGAGGAGCTGGTCACAACTCTTACTCAACCAAAGTGAGGTAAGGTGTGCTATTCAGAATCAATAATGGTATTTTAAGAACAATTTCCAAAAGGATTTTAAATGCTAAGGTAAAGTAAGTAATAAAGTAGTGTAACTGTAGAATGCATTGGGTTTATTCCCAAAATAATTAATTGAAAACTGAATTGCATGCCTGAAAATATATTCCTGATACTCTATTCAGAATACATGCATTCATTAGTCAATCTAGTTTCAAAAAAATAATCCAAATTTTTGCTAATATTAAAGGAACACTATTGTGTCAGGAACACGAACATGTATTCCTGACCCTAAAGTGTTAAAGCCACCATTAAGGTGGCTTGCCCCCTTAAAAGGGTATGAAAACGTATCTTATTTCCATGTCCCGATGCTTGCCTCCTTGGTTGATATCATCAGAATTGATGATCTCAGCCAATCCAATGCTAAACCCATAGAAAAAGCATTTGATTGGATGAGATCGTCAAGGGAGCCAAATGCTGGCTTTGCCAAACAGCATCCGCTAATGGAGATGCATTGAATCTGAGGGGTGACCACTGGAGGTGTCCCTAGGCTGTAATGTAAACACTGCAATTTCTCTGAAAAGACTATAGTGTCCCTTTAAAGAAGAAGAAAAATTGTCAAAGTCCATCTATGTGGGTAAAATGAGGCCAACTCAATTTTTGCTATAAAATATGCCTTTTTTTTTTTTAAATAAATAAATCCTTGAATTTTTGTATTTCCCTCATTGAGTGCCAGGAATATTGTCCTCTGCTAGTGGTTGTATGCAGGGCTTCTGCTCGGTGCCTTGGGTCACCACTAACACTTTGAGCATCTATGGATTTCCCTGAACAATATATTGTACAGTGCTTAATCTATTGCAGGTTACTCAATGTTTTACGGTAGAAACCCATTACTACAGTTTTATTTTATTGTGTATAAATATATGTTCTACAGTTGCATTTATTTTCGAGACACAGTTGGGGGGCGGGGGTTCAGAAAGATGCACTTAGGTTGAAGTTGCCAGCCTCCAATTTATCATTCCTTTTCTTTTTCACACAGGGCGCTTTTCCCTACATCGTGAATTACATTTTGTACATTTTGTGGGCTCTCTTCTTCTCCCTTCTTGCTGTTTTGTTGGTCCGTAACTTTGCTCCATATGCCTGCGGTTCAGGGATCCCTGAAGTAAGTAATCTTTCTGTGACGGAAATTAAATTATTAAATAAGAAATCGATGATCTTCCCTCTTAACCGAAGGGTTTAATTCTTTTTTTTTTTTCTTTTTTTTCTTTTTTCATAAGTAAAATATCACAGCAACAAAATATTTCTATATCCCATAGCAGTTGAAATAATACATGTTTATTAAAAAGAATGTTCAAATCAAATGGCTGCATAGCTTCTGGTTCCCATGTTGTATCACCACAGTCTACTAGCTGGTGACATTTAATATGATTCTTACAGTTTAACCGTTATATGTAAATCTTACAAAATGTGACCAGGCAGTACTCCACTCCTTATGTATTTCCTAACATAGATGTCAACCATGCTAGTTAAGTATTTATTTATATCCTGATAATGGCCTAATGCAGTATATTATGACGACTGAACATTGTGCAGCTTCTGTTTATTACTGTTATGAAGACTGTCGTGAAGAAACGAGTGATGATTATTTCATTTATTACCTTTCTCATGTTGGATGACAGAGAGAAGGGAAATAGCTCTTTGTGCAACCAATACAAACACAAAAAAATATGTAACTTGAATTTCTGTCGGTAAACATTTACCATGAATTCTGCTTCAGTTAAATTTTAGTCTTTATTAAATCAGACTTTCTTTTGGGTCTTGTATGTTTAAGTATCATCGTCTTTTGCAGATCAAGACTATCTTGAGTGGATTTATCATTCGGGGCTACCTGGGTAAATGGACACTGATTATAAAGACTATAACACTTGGCCTGGCTGTGTCTTCTGGCCTCAGCCTGGGCAAGGAAGGTCCCTTAATCCATGTTGCTTGTTGCTGTGGCAATATCTTGTGCCATCTTTTTACAAAGTACCGTAGGAATGAAGCCAAAAGGAGGGAGGTAAGAAAATTAAAGATCATAGAACTTGACCGTTTCATGCATCTTAATATACATAGACTTGATGCTATTATTATTTTTATTTTTTTTAAACATAGGTATTGTCGGCTGCGGCTGCTGCTGGTGTGTCAGTGGCTTTCGGTGCCCCTATTGGAGGAGTGCTTTTCAGCTTGGAAGAGGTAACTCTTCTTTCCCATAGTTTACCTTGTCGCTAAAAAATAAACCGCAATATTGTTTTTGTTTGGTTTTTTTAAAAACCCACCAGATTTGTACTAGTTTATTTTTTCCATATTTCACTTACTCAGAGTCTCTTTAATGGTTTAATTTTCCTTTTTCATTACTTTTTAATAAATGTTTAGACACCACCATGTGTTTTTGTATTTGGATTAGTAATATATTTACACTCTGATTCCAGTTCCGTTGTAGTACTAACAGCACATTAGACTAATGATTGTTCGATTAACATACTGCTGGTGACAACCATCAGGATGAAGGATCTGGTCTTTGTCCTGTAATAGAATTGTCAATACCTTTCTTCTATGACGTCATCTTTTCTAATGAATCTCATAGTTTTACAACATGTTTACTAATAATTCATCTAAACCACCAGGATTACGGTACTTTAGATTGTATTATTTTTTTATTAGATTTCAAAGAAAAGACAATGCACAGTAATTTACCTTAACCTGTATTTGCTCCATTTCCTTTAGGTCAGTTATTACTTCCCAATGAAGACTCTCTGGAGATCATTCTTTGCTGCGTTGGTAGCAGCTTTCACTTTGCGCTCCATCAATCCATTTGGTAATAGCCGCTTAGTGCTCTTCTATGTTGAATTTCATACACCTTGGCATCTTCTAGAGCTTATCCCATTCATACTCCTGGGAATTTTTGGTGGATTATGGGGTGCTTTCTTCATTCGAGCCAATATTGCCTGGTGCAAAAGACGGAAGACCACCAAATTGGGTCGCTACCCAGTGTTGGAGGTCCTAGCTGTCACAGCCATTACAGCGGTTTTGGCTTTTCCCAATGAATATACTCGAATAAGCTCTAGTGAGCTGATATCTGAACTTTTTAATGACTGTAGCTTGCTGGACTCGTCCAAACTCTGTGATTACAAGAATGATGATGTTAATACCACGAATGGAGGCATCCTTCCAGACCGTCCCGCTAGTAAAGGAGTCTACACTGCGCTATGGCAGTTGTCTCTTGCATTAATTTTCAAAGCTGTTATCACCATCTTTACGTTTGGAATGAAGGTGAGTTAATGTGCTTTTAGAAGATTTTATGGTAATATCTCAATGTACAACTATCACCTAAGACCCTAGTGGTGTGGCAAGCTTATCAGCCATTTCTTTTTGTGAAGCACTTGTTTTAGAAATGCATTACCATTAAAAGGTGTATATGTTTTTTGTTTTGTTTTTTTAACCTGCAAATGTAGTTTCACATTTTCTAAAATGGGAGAATTTCTGTATGTGAGCTATTGCAGAGTTGTTCACTAGTGAGAATTCAAAGTGATTTAAAAAAAAAAAATTTAAGGTCAAAATGGAAAATTTCAGGTCAGGTATGCTTGCAGTTCAGCTACTCTGGCCTTAAATTTGAAATGCACTTTGAATTCTCACCATGTTAGAGATAAATGTGACATGATTAACAGCTATTTTATAACTCTAACATGGTTGTTTACTAAAAGCTGTTGTATGTCTGTCTGCGGCAAATATGAGCACTGGGCGCTCTAAGGGCGATGTCGAAGCATCCTGCAATACCCCCCGACTGCCGGGCCGACTTAGTAGGTAAATAGTCCTAACAAGCAAATAGAGCTAAAAGTGGTTATCCCTACAAAGCAAGGTCATGATAAGAGATATCCTGTCATTACAAAATAATACACAGCAGAGGCGAAATTACATGTGATATTTTATTTTCAGTAGTATTGAAAAATTACAGTTTACTTCTTTTAAAGTGGCTCTGTCACCCAAAACAATTTTGTTTTAAAATGCTCATCATAAAGACTCTGTTGGAATTTTATTGAAATTCTGATATCGTCAAAACACTATGAGACAAAGTAGGGACTACATTGTCTAATGGTGAATCTGCAAAGTGACAAAAGGCAGAACCGCTGTCAAGTTTTGACACTTCCCCCATTCAATCGCAGGATCCTCCATAGACACCAGTGTTGTGCAAGAGAACAGCACTGAAACAGGCTCCAGGCAGATGTAGCATCAGTAGCTGAAGATTGAAGATGGCAACACCTGCCTCGGACAGCATAGGTTTAGTATAACTCGCCTCTGCTACACCCCCAGGCCACTGCTTTACAAATAGCAATGTCACCACCAGGAGTCTTTGCATATTTTGGTGACAGAGCCACTTTAAGTCCCTCGTCGCTGCTTCTTCCTCCACGCCACTCCTCCCTCTGATTGCGTCGGCTGGTGGGCCGGGGAGACCTAATGCGCATGCGCGGCAATGCCGCGCATGCACATTAGTGCTCCCCATAGGAAAGCATTGAAAATGCGTTTCAATGCTTTCCTACGGGGAAATGAGCGACGCTGGAGGTCCTCACAAAGCGTGAGGACGTCCAGCGACGCTCTAGCACAGGTTTCCTGTGCTATAAACCAGGAAGTGCCCTCTAGTGGCTGTCTAGTAGACAGCAACTAGAGGTGGAGTTAAGCCTGCAAGGTAATTATTGCAGTTTATAAAAAAAACTGCAATAATTACACTTGCAAGGTTAAGAGTAGTGGGAGTTGGCACCCAGACCACTCCAATGGGCAGAAGTGGTCTGGGTGCCTGGAGTGTCCCTTTAATTGCAAGTGCATAATTTTCAGTCTTGAGGGAACTCATTTTAATAGTGTATAGATCACATCAGACACAAGATGGTGACTTGTAGTGCAATACAGTCATTATAAATATGGCAAACCTGGTGGCAGTGTTTTTTGTGCTGTACTGTAAAGCAAATAAATACTTAAATACATAATGTAACCTGAGGCAGCTAAATAGTGTATTATAGCAGAATAATTCCTCTGAAGTGCACTCACTGCTTATGGTGTGAGTTAGGACCAGGTAAACTCTGTTTTAAATTAATACAGCATCAGAATGTGACTTTACTGACTGGCTTATTCTGTTCTATAACTGAACGGGCAGGGGAAATGGTGTGGCATCTGGTTCTTTGACTGACCTGAACCCACAACACTAAAGGACCACTATAATGTCAGGAAAACAAATTTGTTTCCGTTAAACTATATAATCCTTAGGTCCCCCTCACCTGCTGGGCTGAAGGGGTTAAAACCCCTTCAGCCACTTACCTTTATCCAGCGGCGGGCTTCCTCGGCACTGGTGACCTCTCCTCCCCCTCCGACTTCTGCTCCCGAGTGGAGCTGAATGCGCATGCGCGGCTAGAGCCGCGCACGCATTAAAAACGCCCATTGGAAAGCTTTTCCCAATGCTTTCCTATGGACGTTCTGCGTGCTCAATGCGATTTTCGCATTGAGCGTCGGGGAAGGCTGGATTAACCCTGCAATTTCTCTGAAACTGCTATGTTTAAAGCTGAAGGGTTAAAATCTGTGGGACCTGGCACCGAGACCACTTCATTGAGCTGAAGTGGTCTGGGTGACTATAGTGGTCTTTTAATACCTTTTTATTTGGCATTTACTGGTCTAATCTCTTTATGAGGCTGTGCAGATTAAGTATACTAATTTAAGGTATAAAAAAGTTGGATGAAGTGTACCTTGCAGATGGAGTGTACTCATTTAAGGTCTAGAAAAGGAGAATGTGTATTAACATGCCTTTTGCAAAATCAAAATAATGATTTCTAGGTGCCATGCTACTAGTAACAGCAGTAAAAAAAAAAAAAAACTAAGGGGCCCTATTACTGGTCACCCTTGCTAGCTGCAGATGATTACATTGCTTTCCCTATGGTTCAACATGGATGAAGGGTGGAGTGTTACAGGGTGAGGGGGGAGGTAAGCGTGACAGGGTTAATTGTTAATGTGACAGGGTGAATGTGGCATGGTTGGGGAAGTGTTTATCACTGGGTTGGGAGGAGTGAGTGTGATAGGGCAAGGGGAGATGAATGTGACATGATTAAGGTGAATTAGTTGACTGGGTGAGTGTGGCAGGGTTGGAAGGGAGTGTAGCACGGTTGGAGGAAGGAGTTTGACAGGAAAAGGAGTGGTGAGTGTGACAGTGAGAGAAAAGGTGAGTATAACCAGATTAGGGGGTCATGTGATAGGGTGAGTGTGGCAGAACGAGAGGAGTTGAGTGTGATTTGGTTGAAGTGGGTAAGTGTGACAGTATTAGGATGGGTTAAAGTGAGTGTGACAGGGTTAAGGGGGCAACAGTGTGTGTGGGGAGTGGTGACCGTGTGTGTGGGGAGGGGGCTGACAGAGTGTGGAAGGGTGGCAGGTGGCTGAGTGAGGGGGGGGTCACAGGGGGCAGAGTGAGGTAGTGAGGGGGCTACAGGGGGCAAAGTGAGGGATGGAGGAGTGAGAGGGGGAACGTTTGAGGGAAGGAGGGGGTGACGGGGTAAAGAGGAAGTATTAGAAATACCTTTATTTCCCTGGTGGTCCAGTGTCCTGGCTCCCTGGTGGTCCTGTGGGTTGTCATTCTCCCTGGTGGTCCGGTGGCCTTCCTATCCGCGTGATAGGAGTCTCGCAATCTCCAGAAGTCAGAGCTTTGCTGTGGGTTTCCACGGCAATGCTCTGACTTCTGGAGATCGCGAGACTCCTATCACATGGTTTGCAGCTCACACCCAGCTGAACTGCAGACTAAAGGCTGGCTCTCAGGGCAGACTGGAGGGGCCTTGCACCCGGCCTGACAAGTCACTCTGCCCTAAGGCGATTTTAGGCGGCTGCGAGGTACCAGCCAGCTTGAGACCTTAGGCGGCCACCTAATTAGAGAGCCGCTTCTGCATACAGACATGTAAGCTGATACCAGATTATACTTTAGGTTTTGCTACACGCTACTAGTCCTTAGCAAGTTATGGGGATATAATTTCTTAGACTTTTAGTGTATGGCACCACCCAGTGGGTATTAGCTGTATTTATCGCTGACCACATTTTGCTATACACTGGGAGGTATTACTGCATCTATTATTCCTCTTATCCCATAGACTTACAGTCATATCACTTTATTTATGCCAGTTTTTTGGTTTCTTGTTACATTTTATTAGGTTAGTAATAAAAACTATTTATTTTCCTTTTCTAATATTTTGCCTTACGTTTGAGTATTTATTCTGGCAGGGCACTTGTCACCCATGTAGTTACACTCTACTTCATATATACCATACTATTTTCCTAGTTTCCTCGTTGGTACACTATCTTTCTTTGTTTATTCATTTCTCCTAGGGGTTACCCCCATTACAAGTGTACCTCTTTTTTTAGGCTCATTTTCTTTTCTTCTTTCATACTTCTACTTAGGTTCCCTCTGGACTTTTTATTCCCAGCATGGCTGTGGGTGCTATTATGGGGAGACTGATGGGAATAAGTGTAGAACAACTGGCCTACTACCATCATGACTGGGCAATTTTCAAAGGATGGTGCAGCCAAGGAGCCGACTGTATCACACCAGGTCTCTATGCCATGGTGGGAGCAGCAGCTTGTTTAGGTGAGTGGCATGATGTCATTTTAAACAATATTATTAATGGAACTACATGGTGATTTGCTTGTAAGTACAATGATCTGTTTATATTTATATATTATATACCTTGTAGCATGAAAACTGGTCATGTGACAGGGGTGTGGAATTTATATAATTAAAAACCTTATTAAATGCTAATAGGTTATGTAATATACCCATGTAGTAAGTACTATATCTACTAGGCAATTAATAATATAATATGATTGACTGTGAAGTGTTTTATTGCCTTCCATAAAGATGTGTGTTAAATATAGAAATGTATAATAATCTTATAATTGTCTATCAGTTTAAATTAGAATGATGCATAAGTCATATTTACCTTTATATTTTTATTCTTTATTACGGTGGGATTAGGTTTTATTACTGCAGCATTGCTTGTGTATTTTTTGATAAAATGTTGTGTAATTATTATTTTTTTTTTTATTACATTACTAACATCTTTGCACTCATTTACATCTGTATTTTTTGTGTAGGTGGAGCAACACGAATGACTGTTTCCTTAGTTGTCATAATGTTTGAGTTGACTGGGGGTCTGGAATATATTGTGCCTTTAATGGCTGCTGCCATGACCAGCAAGTGGGTAGCAGATGCACTGGGACGGGAGAGCATCTATGATGCTCACATTCACCTAAATGGCTACCCCTTTTTAGAAGCCAAAGAAGAGTTTAGCCACAAAACACTAGCAATGGATGTGATGCGCCCAAGGCATAATGACCCATCACTGACGGTCCTTACTCAAGACAGCATGACCGTGGGGGACATAGAAGCAGCTATCAACGAAACAACGTATAGTGGCTTTCCTATAGTTGTCTCCAGAGAGTCACAAAGGCTTGTGGGCTTCGTTCTGAGGCGAGATCTGATCATCTCTATTGGTAAATAATTATGTTTCTAAGCAAAACATTTTTACTATTTCCCTGCACTAACTTGAACTTGCTGCAAAGTCACATTAATGTTTGTGGTAATGATACATAGTCTTGATTTTCACATTTTGCTATCAGTTTAAGATTCTCCTGTTCTTTTCAAACACATAACACAGGGCTTGACAAGTTTGCTTTGAATCGAAGATCCAGCTAAAACAGTGTGCAGCACCTACATACAGCGTCTCCACGCACTGCATGTGGCAATGGGAGCGGGTGGTGAGCAGAGTCAGCACCAGGAGGAAGTCATTACAGTCCCCTTCACTTCCTCCCGGTGCATAGAGAAAGAGAGCGATAGGAGTAGGAGGGAATGGGCTGGCAAATCCCAGGTTTCAGGACAAAATTCTTAGTCGTCTGGTGTCTGGGATTTGTCAAGCTCTGGCGTAACCACAAAACCTTTTTTTTGTTTGTTTGTTTTGTTTTTTTTTTGCATAATGTGTGTCCAAAAGGTATATGTTCTGTGCAGATCCGTTTTTTCTAATTGATTGTGAAACAATTGGTATGATATAATCACAAACACATATATAACCTTGTACTATTTTTAGAAGGAATGTACCCATTTTCTTTCTAAATAAGTACCCAATAATAATTTTGTTTTCCTTGTGTGGCATACTATATTAAGGAAGAAACTGCAGTGAGCTTAGCCAGCATTAAATATATAGTTTGCAAACCTCAGTAGTGCCAAGCTTAGTAATCACTGTATTGAACAATAACTGTCCAGATCAGTTTTTTTTTGTTTTGTTTTGTTTTGTTTTGTCTTTTTTGTCTTTGATTTTCTTAGTAGAGGTACTTCTTCATGTGTACAAAATAAGTTTGATTCAAAACATTTTGATTCAAAATGTACATTTTTAGAACTGTATTCCTTATGACTCTGATGTTTTTTTTGGGTTAGTGGGGACGCGGGGGGTGGTTTATTCCTCCCACTAACGCATGTGTGTATTAACAATATTTTTTGTTGATTTTTCTTTCTTTTAAAGAGAGTGCCAGGAAGAAACAGGATGGGATAGTGAGCGCTTCACGAATTTACTTCTCAGAGTACACACCACCCCAGCCTCCTACCTCACCAGCAAGCCTAAAACTACGTACCATTATGGACCTCAGTCCGTTCACAATCACTGACCAGACACCTATGGAAATTGTGGTAGATATTTTCCGAAAGCTTGGCCTGCGCCAGTGCCTGGTAACGCACAATGGGTGAGTTGCACTAAGAGTATTGATAATTAACCGGGTTTATATATAGAATCACTTTTTCTTATCAATGTATTGTGATAATTAAATTATTAAATTTGGCCAAATGTACAGCATATGTGTAATACTTCAGTTTTATTCAGTTAGATGACAAAGGAAGTACAGTGACTTTGACCCAAAAGATTGCTCCTACAAGACAAAAATTGATTTTTAATTTAAACAATGTGGCAAAAAAAAATGTTCTCCTTAAAGGGACATACTATATGTGTTCCCTTGCTAGCGTGTGTTTACTGGGACTCCACTGTTTCAGTGGGGCCCAAAATCCAAAGTTGTCACCTACACTGAATTAGATACGTGTACACGGAGATGTGGGGATTAGTGTGCAGACAAACTGCTATGTTCCTCCAGTGAGTGATAGCAAGACTTGCTACTGATACTTTAAGATCTGGCAACATAAAATAAACTACTACTAAAAATTAGACAAATTATATGCTGTAAAATGCAATTCTAACATTTTCACATGAGTTGTACATTTTTTGCAATTTTACTCCTACAATATATAGTTTGTGTTACAGCATGGATATTTTTTGTTAGCCTTCTGTCCACACTTTAGATGTAAGATATCCTTTAAAAGGCAAAACGTTAATCCCTTTAATTTTGGTTTTCAAGGTTTATTTAAGTATATATTTTAAAAACATGTTTTATGTATGTATGTATGTTTGCAGACTTTCCCCCTCAAATATAGCTCACAATACAATTTATTTTCCCTTCTCTTTTAGGAGATTACTTGGAATTATAACAAAAAAGGATGTCTTGAAACATATAGCACAGATGGCCAACCAAGATCCAGACTCCATATTGTTTAACTGAGCAATTTACCTAACATTTTTGCCAATCACAGACGGACTGTGAATCTTTTGAAGCCATGCTTCTTTTCACTGTTTGGTGTGTCCTACACCTTCAGACTGGAAAGATGTTTCACCTATTCTAAAGGAGCTGCTGCCACTTTATTTTGAATGGAAGCATACTTTCGATGGGGGGGTACTAAAGGATAACCATTTACCACAGCCCCTTCCTTTGTGGTAAAATGGGCACTTCAGAACTGTTGGACTGTAGCTTTGGTATAAACCTGTGGAGGAAATTCATTTTTATTTTTTATTTTTTTTGAATGAGGGAAGGTAGTTTGGAAATTAAGCAGGAAACCAGAAAAGGCAAAATTAAAGCACGTTTATGGGAGAGAATGCACCTTTATTAGACAAAGAATAAATTATGTATTTAACCATAACAATGTACTGTCTTTTAAAGGTCTACTAATGGTCCACTTATATCAGTAGACGCTTGGGTTTAATGCATTTGTACACACATTGGGTTTGCGCAATGCAAATGGACTCGTTTTAACTAAAGACAAGCTTCTTAACCTTATGGTTATCTGAAATTAATTATTACAAATGAAGTATAGTTTAAATGCAAAATGATCATTATCGTGCCAGAAAATCTTGCATTGTGAATAATCCTTAATCTTGCTTTTGAAATGTGCAATTCTAAACTGTTACACATTTAATGGATCATATATAATTAAATCTGTATTTTTTTATTTCTAAGGTTTTCAGATCAAAGAATAGAGAATTCTATTTTGTAATTGTACATGGGCCCAGATTTCAGAATGGCTTGTAATCCATCAACAAAAATAAAAGTGAAAATTAAGGTTTTCAGTTGACATTTGAAAGTGACTTTCCTTCCAAAACTCTACACCATATTAGGTCTTTAACATTTTAATCAATTAGGCTTTGGATAGTTAATGCTTATTATGGTTAACACTCTACTTCAAAAGAAAAAGCTTGATACATGAGGATTATTATTATTTTTTTTATTTTATTTTTAAATATCAAGTTTATTTAACCCATTAATGTGACACTAGGCACCCAGACCAGCTGACTAAAGGCTCATTGAAGTGGTCTGGGTGCAGTGTCCCTGTTTTAGAGACACTGCATAATTATATTGCAGGACTAAGACTGCCTGCCTGTCAATCAGTCACTAGAGGCATTTCCTGGTAGCTTATCAACTTTTGTTCAGGGATGGTCTAATTTGCTTGCTGCGTATGACCATTAGCCTCTCCTCCCACTTCAAGGGGGCAGTGGGTTGAGAGCTGGAAATGGGTGAGTAAACAAAGGTGTTTTTTTTTTTTTAAACTGTTGCTGAAGTATAGCAGCTCGTGTGCTGCGCAGTGAGTTCTCTGTATGTGTGACTTAGAAAAACTGCACATGCAATTGCTGTTAACTGCTCTGGGGGTTACACGCCAGACTAACACACATGTTAAAAATAAAAATCAGAGTACAATGAACTCAGGCAGGTTAGAAGCTGTGCTATTATTATATATTTATTTTATATTCTTTTGTCTGCAAAGGAAATAATTAGCTGCACCCAAGACTATGGCTCATGGGAGTTGTAGTACAGTAATAGCTGAACACCCACACATTGTCATTCCTTTTCCTGTAATTTACCAGTTGAGGATCAGTGAATATGTAGGAAAGATTCTAATTTATTTAATTTTATTTGAAAACCAATTCTCTCTGATATGTACATTTCATGTGAGTATTTTAATGGAAAGTGGAAGGAAGCTTATTGCCAAAAAGGTTGATCCCCACTTTTATTTTCCTAAAGGGTTTAGATTTGTGTTTTATTTACCCATAGTCCTTTTAACCTCCCTGTACTGATTCCGTCTTAAGTCATCTTGGATGCTTTAAAAAAAATATTGCTGAGACTACAAATCTAGAAGATTTGCAGCAGATACGAAAGATAGGATAAGCGCTAAGAAATTAATTTATATAAACAGTGAAATAATTTGCAAACACTGAATGTAAGGAATACCACCAACACTTTACTGACAAGAAGCAAAATGATACAAAGACAATTATTTGGAAGATCCTGGCTTGGAATCATCCAGGCTTCAGTTAGTGATAAATATATATAACAAAACAGAAAATAACCAATAATAGTGCAGATAGTCAAATACTTTCTATAGGAAACAAAACAAGGATACGTGAGATCACACTTAGTCTCGCAGCATCTAGATGAATAAAAAAAAAAAGAAAAGGTAAAAGTAAAACCTAAAAAGCAAACAATGCTTACTGAGTAAAACCAAAAACAGGTAAAAATTTAAATAGTAATTTACTCACATTTAGTTGAGCAGAAATACTGCTCAAGAGATAGTGATTGGGTGGTATGATCCCAACCAAGGATATAATGTTGAGTAGATTTTCCTGGAGGCAGTCCTTTCCAGGGATTGGATATGCAGTAACGAACATACTTAAGGAGTTTTAAATGTGCCAAGAACAATGAACAACAATAAAAATAAAAAGTATAATAAATGATCTTACACTATAAAATAGGTGTAAGCCAAATAAACTTTAACGCTTAAAAACCTTAAAACACACAACGCATTTTGCCAAACAAGGGGCTTCTCCAAATGTAAGTATAATATGCTTGTTATTGTTCCTGGCACAATTAATTATACAAATATTCAAATTGCTTGGACTGCAAAAACAATATGGTAGAAATTATTCACCTACTTTTCCTTATTTCACTTTTTTAGTCACATAGCAAATTATGTGATTATTTTTTTTAATAGTATATTTCTCTCTCTTTTTCTTCCATTGTAGAATCTGGATATGAATGGTCAGTTTATTGGGAGCAGGGCTTTCCCCTGCTTCACTGTAACTATTTCTTATTCTGGATGTTTCCACCCGCCACCCTGATTGTGGCACAATTGTAAATAGCTTCATCTTAAACTGTTTCATTTCTTGCCTGGGGTCCGCTATTAAGAGATGGGCTTTAGCTCAGTATAAGGGGGGTGATGATGGGAGGAGATGATCACTCTCGTACAACGAGGAAAGCCCTGCACCTCTAGGCTTAATGAGCTGCAAAAGGGGCTAGTTTTATTCCATTCTTTGACTCCTTAAAATGGAGGGGACACCAGGGCGCTCCTTTCACCATAACCACTACAATGCACTGTAATGGTTATGGTACTTGGAGTGTTCCTTTAGTGTAAATATATGCACGGTAGAAACAGAGCTCTTTGCCTCTACTCTCATATTAATGCACACGCATTATTTCTGCTATAGAGACCCCAAAGTGGCACACTGGGCACTAATATGACTCCTGAGTATATCGGCCAGCAAAGATGAAGAAAAAAAGACCAACCGTGTGAGTAATGTTGAATTTATATCTACTTTCACTTAAATACGATGATTCCAAAATGTCTACAAATTAGTAGCTTCCTGCTTGTTTGGCACTGCCCCACTTCGTTGCTGCATATCTCACACTGTTGGTGTTATTTACTAAAGCGCAAATAATCCTGTACCGAATGGTTTGGCAAAACCATCTGGCTGCGTGCAGAGGCATTCCTGAAGCAAAAGTCAGACATTGTTCACACTGTTTGACAATGTCTGGATTTTACATTTTAGGCCCTAAACTGACCACCTGAAATCAGGACTGAATGCTTTAAATCTGGTCCTGGAGGATTCAAATTAAGGCTTGGATTTAAATTTATCTGCACTATTATTGCACTGCCAGCGTTTTGGATACTTTGATAAAGCCATTCCAGAAGTGAAACACGCTAGTAAGAGCAATAAAAAAACAAAAACGACAATATCCTATACACTCTATCTCTAATAAAAACAGGATATATTTTATTCCCTGGTCCTTGTTGTTGTTGTTGCTGCTGCTTATTGCTTTCTGGATACTATTTCCATGGTGAGGATTGTGGATTGAGCAAAACCATTTTTTGCTCAGGATCTTGTAGTTATATTTTCACTTCTTAGCATGTATTCACTGTACAATATGCAGTGTTTTGTCTTTATTTTGTTCTGTTTCATACCATTACAAAGACAATATCTTCCTAGATTGGGGATTATACCACTGCACACTGATCAATAAGAGCCACTTGGAGGCTCCATGAAATGTGAGTGTATCTTAATTTACTACTGATCCAATTGCTATCCATTTAACATATTCACTATTTGTATTGGTGCTTGTCTATATTTCTGTTTTGATTTATTCCATATCCTGCAGGATATTGTGTTTGGACCAAGAGATACATCACTCAAGTCAAAAATAAAAAAGATGTGATTCCTTCAATAATAAAAAACCAACAAAAACTGGTGTACCATTTTAAACATAAAAACATTGATAGACCTAAAACGTATATTGCACAGCCACTATACACAGCTAAAGCTGGATTACTAAATACAAAACATTGTAAAACAAAGTATCACAGTGCAATGAATGCAACAACTAATTAGTGCAAACAAATTTGTTAAAATCCAAATAAGCTGTAAAGAGTGGTCTACCTCCTCAAAGTGGAATAAACTATAAAAAGCTGATCTAAACTTTCATCGGAGTACCAGACGTTATCAAGACCAAATCAAATTTAAGGAGATTCGTTTACATTGGACTCTAGCGTCACCGGGCTTATTTCAGCTTGCAGTCATTGCTCATTATTTGCGGCACAATGGAACTCATAAGGCGTTCAGATTTCATCCTAATTTAGGCCACGTCAAGGACCTTGTTAATTCCCCCACACAGACGCATAAATGTCTGGAGAGGTTTGCATCCTACCTGTCATCCACCCATAGTTGATTTTTCCTGCGGTGAATATTGTCTGTGGTGCTTGCTACGTTTATGTTGGTTTGTTACTCTGACTTATTATAGTCCTTGCATTGTGACACTTTGTTTCAAAATGTTTTGTTTTTAGTCGGCCAGCTTTAGCCGTGTATAGTGGCCACTATCCAGGTTCAATATATGTTTTATAGGTTGACCAGAAAAAAGCCCACATGAAAATTGCACACAGAAAAAAAACCCCACTCCCATAAAGGCCCACACGGAAAAATGCCCACACTGAATATTATGCACATATAGTAATTTTCCCATTTATGAGCATGAATTACCTACATTTTATTTAGTTATCAATATCTTTTGATTAAAATGTCTCATATTCATATGCAACAATTTGCATTGTGATTTTATAAATGTATAATTAAACAATATTTTGCTAGATTAGAAGTATACTAATTCACTGCTAAACAAAATGTGGCCTGTGTATGTAGAGGGCTTAACCCCTTAAAGGACCACTATAGTATAGTGCCCTGAGGGTGCCCCCACCCTCAGGGACCCCCTCCCGCCCGGCTCTGGAAAGGGGAAAGGGGAAAGGGGGTAAAACTTATCTTTTTCCAGCGCTGGGCGGGGAGCTCTCCTCCTCCGTTCCTCCTCCTGGGCTGAATGCGCACGCGCGGCAAGAACTGCGCGCGCATTCAGCCCGTCGCATAGGAAAGCATTTACAATGCTTTCCTATGGACGCTTGCGTGCTCTCACTGTGAAAATCACAGTGAGAAGCACGCAAGCGCCTCTAGTGGCTGTCAATGAGACAGCCACTAGAGGATTAGGAGGAAGGCTTTAACCCATTCATAAACATAGCAGTTTCTCTGAAACTGCTATGTTTATATAAAAAAAAAATGGGTTAACCCTAGAAGGACCTGGCACCCAGACCACTTCATTAAGCTGAAGTGGTCTGGGTGCCTAGAGTGGTCCTTTAAGGACGGAGCCAAATGTACACGTTGTGAACGAAACAAAATGTAAACAAAATCTGGCATTTGCGCTACATGTCTGTCCAACCGTAATTCACCTATTTCATAGTAAATGCACCCACCCTTATTATATATAGTTTATTCA